TGACTCTATTGTTTGCTCTAGCAATTAACAATTATTGTTGTTCTGTTAAAAATTTACTTTATTTCACTTTTGCTGTTGCTCTTTGTTCGTTCTGTTCGGCGGCTTGTGAATGAATGAGCAGAGCAGTCGGACGCTGAAGGCGTTTTATAGCAATGGTCGCCCACTCTCGGATCTTCTCTGGCGTTCTCGTAATTTCTCGTAGTTTCTGTCTAGCTCTAGCTATCGCTCTCTCTCTCTTTTACACTCCCTCTCCCGCTGTAGAAAATAAACTTGAGTCTGTCTTGAGAGGACACTCTCTCTTTGTTTCTCACCCTCTTATGGAAGAGCAGCTGTAAACATGGACTTTTTGTGGGAGGGTACATTAACTTGTTGATGACGTTTGGATGAGGAAACGTCACAGTGTTGTGGGCTCTGCTCTGCGTTGGCCAAGCAGTTGAGCAACCCAAAAATATCGCCCACGCCTCTCGTATTAGACAACTGACTTGCTTACACAAACGTACATAAATATATAGCGTCAGTCAATATTATATATTACTGTATGCTGCTGCCCACCTACTAAGGAGAACGCACACACACACACGCAGATACGAAGCCCATCCAATAGTCGCTATTTCGCTAGAGAGCAGCACGTCAAGAGAAATAGAAACAGAGAGCTGGGGCAGCATACAAAGAGAGGGAGTGAGAGAGAGACACAGCGCGCGTCCATTAGCTTGAGGTTTTTTGTTTCTTCTAGAAATTTTCGAATATTTTCAGCGAATCGAGCGCCAAATCTTTTTGTTCTTGATAGATTGGATGGCTGGCCAATAGATTAGGCCACTAAAAAACAGCTGTACTTTTGGCTCTGTGGTAAATTTCCGCACGCGTTGCCGCATTTATCAAACGCAGAGCTGCCCAGAAGAGTGCTTGACACGACAGCAGTCTTCCCTTTCCTTGCCTTTCCCACACCAGGCGCAGAACAGCAGCGGCTAAGAGACAGCAGCCCAGTCTGAGTAGGTCAATAGTGTATGCATACATACTTGACACACTGTGCCCACAGCTGCCACAATGGGTTGCCTGCTTGGTTGCCTGCTTGGTTGGTTGGTTGGTTGGTTGGGTGCATCTAGCAGCTGGGTACGAACGCACGCCCTCTCCTCCCACTCAGTGGGGGGCTTTTACGCAACCTCCAACCGACTTTTCCCATTGTTTGTGCCCGTTTTTCGATTCGGAAAGTCTACAATGGAACCGAGGGCAGTGCGAGAAGAGACGGTGAAGGATTCGTATATCCGCAAAAAAATCGAACAGTTGCAACGTCAGGGTACAGTGAAGCAGTGGAGAATGGCAGTCGAATAGGCCATTTCGCAATAAATGTAATGAGCATTCCTCTCTGGAGCAGTTTCACTGTAATTGAATTTCCACACAGCCTACAGACAGCATCAGCAGCGACAACAACAACAACAAAAACAACAATGATACGCATCCGAATATGTCCAAGCGACCTTGCCTGGCGCCAACCTTGAAGCTCGCTCACTGACGCTCGTCTCCCCGTCCTCGTCCCCACCCCCTCCTTCACGACTGACCCGTGAAGTCCACTCACCTGAAAATGTTGCTGCTGTTGATTTGTGGGAACCTGCTGCTGAGGATGCTGCTGCTGGTGCGGGGGTCGCTGCCTGGGCGATCCGTATCCGGGCAGAGTGCTGCTGTTGAATTGCGGGTGCGGCTGCTGCTGGTGCGGGGATCCATGGGCTCCGCTCACGTACTCCCGATTGATGGGTATATTGATGCCCGAAACATTGCCAGGGCCTCCGTTACCGCCCGCACTGGCCTGAGCCTGGGCATGGGCCTGATTCGGTGCTATCACAGTTGGCTTCATCTCAGTTTCGGAGTTGTTTCCTTAACCTTTAACCCTGCCGTTGCCGTAGCCGTCACCGTAACCGTGTTCTCGAGTCCGGAGTGAAAATAATTTTTTTTTCTGAGTTTCTTTTTAACTTTTGAGGCTTTTCGAAAACGTTGCTGCGGCAGAGATTAGTTTTTGGATGGGACACAAACCAGCTCTCGGATCGTGCGGGGGAATGGAGTGCGGGTTCACCTTGAACGACGACAGCGACGACGACGCGTGCTGCTCTGCTCTGCTCGTTCTCGTATGTTCCGCTGCGTTGCGCGTTAATTTTCGCCGCTTTTGTGGGCGCTTCTCCGGCTGATACTTCTCAACGGCTGGCTCCTGCTAATCACTCTGTTTCTCTTGTCCCCGCGTCGCCTTCTCCGGGTGTGATGTCACTTCTGGCCACACTTTCTAACACACAGACACGCCGACACTTTTTTTTCCACTTCCACTTTTCGATTTTTGCTTTTTTAGTATTTCCGCTGCAATCTTTTGTCTCCCTTCCACTCCTCTCACGTGTGTGTGCTTTTGTATTTCTATATTCAATTTAAAATATATATAGATTTTTTATTTTTGCACATTGCCGCCGACTCACACACACACACACACGCACGCACACTATCAAGCACACACTTTGATTTTGTTGTTGTTTGTTTAGCCAAATATCCACGTAGTCTGCGCCGTCGTCCGTTCTTCACGCTGCCAAAGTTGCTCGTCGATTGAGCGCCATCGCCGTTTGCTAGTGGCCCCAAAGCAAATGGCTCCCGCCGTCGCTGGCGTTGGGGCTGCTCTCTTACTCTCTCTACCTCTCTCTCTATCTGTATGTGTGTGTGTGTGTTGTCTTGCCACGCGGTTTGTGTGTGTTAAGCTTTGCTTGGCTTCTCTGCCATATGTCGAACCTGTCTCCGTGTCTCAGTCTCCTCTCTCCACTCCATCAGGTTAAGGCCTAAATAGGTAAACATTTTACTGTCTCTCTCTCTCACTCTCCAACTGACGCTCTCTGCTCTCTTTGGTTTCTGCACTGATCATTGCCCAAGATACACACACATCAGATTTATAAATAGACGGACGTGGAGACGACGCGACGATGGGGCTAGAAAGCTGGCCGAGAGCGGCTCTCAGAGACGAATTCCATGGCAGTCGCAGTCGCATGGCTTCTAGAACGTGTAACCATAAGCCAGAGCGCCGCCTACATGTCCGCCGCCGCCACACACTCACACACATCCACTGCGTCACCAGCGGCAGCAGGGGTAAACAGTTGTCGTCGCCCACTAACGGAGTTGTTCAATCGTCAATCAATCCATCAATGGGTTCGTGACTAACGATCTGTTATGCCCCGATCTGCTCCCCCATTCGAGACCCTTCTGCCGCAAAGGTGAGGGCGCCGAAATGTCTTCTGCAATCAACCGATATGACGATCGGCTGATAACTGCCAACTGCTTACTTGACGCCCTGGCCAAAAACTGTTTACTTAGCTCTGCTGCTGCCTTTTGTAGAACGATGCGTCATCTGCGGCCAAGGCATTTTCCTCAGAATGCCAAATGATGCATATGTATGTACATATGTATGTATAGTCGCCTGGCCGGCGACACGCCCACACAGAAAGCTGCTTTAACCGTTCGATGTATTTTCCAAATATTTTCTAGCTTCTCGCCCGAACAACAGCGTCGACCAAGCAAATAAAATTGAAATAATTCATAATTAAATATTGCACACATCTTTATAGAGAGAATACGCATATGAATACAACACAATGATAAACATACATATATTTATATAACAAGTATACATACATATGTATAAAGGGGAATGCCATCTAATATAGACACAAAGGCGAAACGCAATGCAAAAACGAAGTCAAATTCATGTTGCATCCCAGACGTTTTTCCTCGGAATTCTAAAACCGAAATTCTAAAACACAAAATCACAAAGATAAAACATCGAAGCTAGAATTCTCTCTCCATAAAATACGGATCCAAGATCATTCTAGACATGGTTACCGTAATCCCCACAAAGAATCAAAAATAAATTGTCATCAACAGTTATTAAAATATCTGATACACAATATCAAGAGAAAAACTGAGTAAAATCCATTAGGTTTCTGCCAAGTTGCTGGGCAAGAGTGGCTGATAATTCTAGTGAGAGTATCGCATGCGAATGCGTTCCTTTTATGGGACCCTGTAACCCGTCAAAACAAATCGAATCGAATCGAATGAGTCAGTCGCGCGTCAAGTGTTTGTGTTGTCTGGAAAAAGCTGAAATCGGAGAATGACCGAAAGCGATATAGGAGTAGCGAAGAATTGGATAAGCATTGGAATTGAAATTGGAATAATCAGAATTGATTCATTCAATGCAATTACTCAGAAAGTGTTTACACTTGGATATGCATACCGACATACATATATTTTATATGTATATGCATACTGCAAACCAATTTCTTAATGGCTACTTATAATAATAAATTTGTGTTTACACTGGACACAGTTCAGGTACATTGAGTACAATGAATGTTTAAATATTTTCGACATTCCATTGCTCTTCTGATCCCACTGTTCCTCTGGCGCTGCACTGCTTTACAGTTGGTGTCCAAACATGGCTTCCATTAACCGTTTCATGAGCGTATCGACAGTCTTTCGTTATGGTTAGTGGGTGCGGTGGGGGAAATGGCAATTCCCAGATTATTGCTGGGGTGGCGTTAATTTCCTACGGACAGGTACCGCTACTCGTATACGTATATAAGGCAACAAAACAAACCTGGCCACCAAACCTGGCCCACCAATTATATAACTGAATCAACGGTTTTTACGCACTCTTTCTCTCTCTCTCTCTTTAGTGTCGTCTCACTCACAGTCGCACTCTCACTCACTCTCATCCGCCGTCTTCAGCTGTGCTTTGAGTGAGCTTTAATTTTGGCGCGCTGCGACAGAGCGCATGCTCGGCTCAGGTTCCCATTCATGACCCTCGGCTGTAGGCTGGCTCTCTGCCACTAGCGCTGCCGCTTCCGTTGCCTCTGCCCGTTGTCGGTGTCGGTGTCGGTGTAGGTGCCGTGCCTCTGCCTTTTGCACTCCACTCGAGCCGAGTCCTGGCTGAGCGGTTTCCCTGCAAGCGCTTTCCTTTCAGTCTCTGACCAGCGTTTGAGGCGTTTTGTTTGGCGCTCTCTATCTTCCACCACACGACACTCACGCGGCGGCTGCAGCTCGTTTTTTAGTTCCTTTCCTTCCACTTTTCTCGCGCTGCGTTTCTTGCGGTTTGCCTTTCATTGTTTCTCCTACTACTTACCTTACTCGCTTTGTGGCTGCTGTTGTTGCTGTTGCTCTTGCTGTTGTGGCCGTGGTTACTGCTGCTACCCGCCACCCGCCATACGATACACACGCTGCTGGCACGGCACCACGGCAAGGCAGAACAGAACACACAACAGTAAACGGCAGCCCTAACTGTCACAAAATTCAGTTTTTGCGTTCACACTGAGAGAAAAGCGACTCGGAAACTCGTAAACTCGTAAACTCGTTAACTCGGAACGGAGCTAAAAACGAATCAAAATTTCTACGTTTGCGGCCGCTGCGGCGTCCTCGTCGTGATATAACAGTCTTCGAGGAGTTGCTTGGTTCCGCTCACCCTGTGCGACCCTCTCTCACCCTCCCACTCATCCGGGAGTTTCTCTTTTTCGTCGTTGCTGTTGCAGCAGCAGCAGCAGCAGGAGTCGGACTCGAAGACAAAATCCCCCATGCTGCAGTTACATTGACCCAACGCCGGACGAAGGAGTCAGCAGAGGAGCGCAACGATAATGTAAGTTTAGCCATTCCCTTAACGGTCCCTTAATGGGTCGCTTACCTGGTCGATGACGCCTGACCCTCCACCCGTTCCACAACTCCTCCTGCTCCTGGTTCCCGCTAAACGCAAATGCCCCGAAAATTACACTCCTATATGGCGTAATTTGCGGCTTTTGGCTTACTCCTATTCCATTTTAGTGAAATTATTTTGTTGTTGTTTTGTTTTTGCGTTCTCGATGCTAAGGCACGCAACCGGGGAATTAACGGAATCCCAGTCCCAGTCGCAGTCCCAGTCCCAGTCCTGTGGCAGTAGCAGTAGCGCGTAAGTGTTTTCCATGTAAATCATGCCCCACGGGTCGTATGTGTAATGTCTGGCCCCAGACCAAGGCTGTGTCGGGCCCAGGTCGTGCCCCTGTCATCTGGCCGTCAAATGCAAATTGGTGTGAAAATGCCACGAAACGTGACTATGGCGGCGGGGAATACTGCGATGACTCCACTCGACTAAGGGCCATGCATAAGGGCTGCAGTGAGGATCTGGTCTAGTATCGGTATGGATGTGCCGTGTTCGGAGGTACGCATACTCTGTGCTTGATTACATTGATTTGGATAGACTTCATGGGGCTCAACCAGGTATCTGCTTGCTCTCCTGCCTACGTGATTTAGGTCCTTACTTTATTCCCACTTCCGTTTAATTTATTTGCTTGGATTGTATTTGATTGGGGATTGAGTCATATGTTTCCATATCCATTTCTAATCTGCCTACAAATATCTGATAAATAATATCCACTAAATTATCTATTAATTGAAAAGGTTCTGTCTTCTGTTCGCTCCCCTTTATCTGATATGTATCCCCCTCAATCCCCATCCATTCGACAATTAAAAGGCTCCATTTTGCTTAATTTCCCTTGTTGCACACAACAAACAAAAAAAACAAGAACATGGCCCAAACTCGGTTGTGTGTTCCTGTTCCTGTTCCTGTCATTGCATATGTAAAACGAAATTAATATTTTGAGGCATGCACAACGTCCCCTGGCTGCCGGATCCCTGCCACGCCACATCAGGCTAATTATTTATTTAAATTGAGTTCCGACAATGGCTAAAACTTTGCCAGCCGAGTGCTTCATCAGACACAAGTTGTCACTTTCTGACGGGGTTTCCCCTGAATAAAGAATGGGAATGGGAATGGGTTTGGTCATGAATGCAGTTAATTAGCTTTCTGCGGAAGAGGATGGTGGGGCTGTAGGGAATGGTGAGGTGGAGGCTGCACTGAATGAGAGGGAAGATGAATTGCATGGCAAATCAGGGCTGATGTCCTCGGGTCGGATTATGTGCGCCATCATGGGGGGAACAGTAACGCCCGCCCGGGCGATCCATTTCACTTTTATTGCCACTGCGATTGCAACACTTTGTCTCTGTCAAGGATGTGGGGGAGAGCGGACAGCAAGGAGCACAGGGGTCCTAGCAAGCGGCACGGTCAGCAGATAGCCAGTGGCCACTGGCTCAATGGAATAGTTTCTGCTGGTCCCAGCGTTTGTTTAGGAGCCGTACCCAAGCGAACTACTCAAATATTTGCCTCCAGCATTGGATGCTCTTCGATGCGATGCTCATGAAATCCACAATCAGCCATCCCCCCGCTTCCCTGGGCCCTCCGTCATGTTAATAAACCATTTTATGGCAGCACGTGTCCCCGAAGAGAAAGTTTCTCTCTGTCGAGGAGGAGTGGGACTCCAATCCGGCCGGTCCATATCCATTGACAGCCTCCCCAGACAAAGCGGCGCTATTTGGTTGCCGGCTTGGCTGTGAGCCCTTATCCAGTCGTGTGTGGCCAACATGATGTCCTCTCCCCATCACCATCCTCTGCGATTTCATCTACTTTGTGTGCCGCATGCCTCATGCCTCTGGCCTCATGTGTACGGAAGCAGAAGGCTCGCTCGGTTCGCTTTGAATTTATTTAAAACTGCCTGCCTGGCAGAGAACGAAGCAAAACTTAATCGCCCTTCACAACATATATATTTAGATAGAGCTTCCTTCATATGTGTGCGTGCGTGTGCGTGTCTTTGCTGTTTGTGTCCTTTGGCCCGAGACATTTATCATAAACAAAACCCGTGGAAAAGGCACAATTTTTGTGCACAGTCACTGAGCAATCCAGGCGCTGCGGGGGCTTCGGCTTCGGCTTCCGCTTCACTCCAATCCAATCCGCCGGCATTGACTCACCAGCGATGGAGTCATAAAGCCCGCTCCATCCTGCTGCCAGCCCGCGTTCCCCAGTAGGTGTGGCTTCTGTTGCCCCATTGCATGTATTTTATTGCTCATGTAGAATGTCTAAACGATATAATTGACTGCCAGCCGGCATGGGTATGGGTTGGGGTATGGGGAGGTGGAGTAGTACAAGGCCGGATTCCAGCTAATTTATATACTATGTACATACATATCGTACTATATACTCCATACTATATACGAGTAATATTCCTGCCCCACCACCTCCCCTTTCGACTGACATTGGGCAGAGCAAAAAGTCGAAATTAGAAGTCGATTGATTGCCAATGATAATGAAAGAAACTGTCGTGGCAAAAAACAAGGGAAACTAAAAAAAAAACCATTAAGTGGAAAAGTTGGCAGCCCATGAAAATCTTGACAAGCCCAATGAGACGCTGCGCGGGGTGGCAGGGAGGGACCAATTTAATTTGATTAAAGTTTCCCATAAATTCCGAGCCTCGCTCAATGTCTCTGGGCCTTGGCGCATGCAACACTTTTTTTTCCCCGGGCAAAATGCTCTTGGCAAACAGCCCACAAGTAATCGGGGGGGGAGACAGACAGGCCACCCCACAATGCGATTTCATTAGGAGTTTGTCGGTGAAATTCAATGCAAAAATGTTTTCCAATCATGGCCCCTAAAATATTTGGCCACAGGCTAAGCAAACACAAAACGCTCACATGGCCGCAGAGGACGAAGACATCCCAGGACTGGCACACAAGCGAATCGATTCCGAGTTGCAGTTTTCCGGGGAAACCTCCTCCAACCTTCCTGGCCATAAAAAGTGTGGCAGATTCGCCAGCGAAACGGCAAAGCGGAACGGCGACGAGGCTTGGAGGAGGACACTGCTAGGAGGCGAGCGAAGTGTCACATCAATTGATTTGAATTGAATGTCGGCGCACTGGTCGTGCCACCTCAGCATCTCCACAAAGGGGAGTGGGGGGGAGGGGGGGTAGGGGCCTGACTGCAGACTATTTATAGCCACTGTAATGGTGATTGGATGCACTTGAGAATCCATGCCGGTGTGGTGTAGTCCGAGCGCTGCTAAGCAGCCATTTCGGCTGATCAATTGCCTGTGGATACCATCGAGATGATGAAGAGGATTGACTGCTCTAATTTCGTAATTTTTGTGTGGGGAAAAAAAAGGGGCAGCAGGGGGGCAGCAGGGCTGAAGCTGACTGGCAAATGGCAGCTGCTTCTGCTGTCGTGACGCGTGCCTTATCTGCTCCTCCACGGATGTGTCAGTCAATTTAATGCCCGTGGCCCGACGACAACGTGCCGGGAATGAAATTACAACAAAGCGACACTTTTCCTCATTGCCTCAACTCGGAGACACTTATGCAAATGTGGCGGATTCCAAGTGCACCCAAAGGATGGCCTATCCACATACACATCCGTGTGTGTGTGTGTGTGTGTGTGTGTGTGTGTGTGTGTGGTTACATAACTGTGATGTGTACTGCCTACGACTTGACTTTGTGATGAGGCGTCAGTGTCGTCTCTCTGGGGCGCTTCCGCGGCGGAAGCATTGGCGGAAGGAAGGCCCAACCAACTGTTGCAAGGACAGCGCCGAGAGTGAACTTAGCCTTGCCCACAGTTGCGGGGACACAAACAAGCGAAGCACCGCCGGATGATGGCCAGGGGCTCATCACGATGATGGCTGGCTGGGCCAACCGCAACCTCTGGCATTTCAGCCCAATTCGAATACCAATACTAGGAGAATCCTTCTCTGTGTGTGTCTGTCTGTCTGTCCCTCTGTCTGTCTGTCTTGCTGTCCCTCTAATGAGATGCAACAAAGACAGTGTGGCGTGGCAGAGTCAACGTCAAGGTCTGTTTACTTCCGCGACGAAGGCGCTGGCAAAGACATCCATTATGTCTCGGCTGAGGTGGGTTGTCGTTGCCGTGGCGGCCCTGGCAGTGGCAGTGGCAGTGGCAACAGCTTGCAACTTGCCACTTGCACTTTCATCAGGGCCAAAACCAAAACAAAAGCGCAGACCGACAGATAGACAGACGGAAGAAAAGACCTCCCCACAGCCTGCTGTCCCAGCCTTCCCAATGAAAGGATTCATAACCCAAACCCCTTCTTTTACCCCTTTTTCTACTTCTTCTTCTTGCAGCACTTAGTTTTTGGCCAATTCGTTTGACAATTGAGGAAGTGAGCCGCAACTTTTAAATGAAGAAACATGGGGAATGGCATGAACAAGGTAAGATCCAAATTTATGGTTGACAAACAGTTTCAAGGTTCGATTCGGTTCGGGCCATGCCACACAATAATTTCACTTTTTTCGCTGCTATTTAAATTGATTTTCACAAAATAACACACAAAATATAAAAGCCAGGACTGAGGGTAGAGTAATTTACCGTCGAAACGATTTGTGGACTTTGTGCAATTGATTTAAATTGATTTAAATTGATTTAAATTACATGTAGATTATTTTTAAGCCTGACCCTTAGCCCTCTATAAAATATAAATTTAATTTAAATTGGTTTCAGCAATCTATGCTCTGTGCAGATCTGCACATAGAAAGACAGGACTAGATTTTGCTCTCTGACTTACCACAAAAAAAGAGATAGCCGTATGGGAAGGCCATGCAGCGAGAGCGAGAGAAACATAGGCGTTAGCTTGGCGTTTTAGTCTATCTGATCATATAACTAGATCATATATTATCTCTTGCTCGCACTGCCAGCTTTTCACCAAGTGCTTTAACATCGAGGTCTAGTCCTAGTTCCATTCAAACATAAATTCCACGAAATAATACAGTTCTGTCCCATCATCGATATATCGATATCGATAAAATAAAACATTTCTGTCTCCTGGCTGCGGAACTTTCGTTTCGGTATCACGCTACGAATTAACGTAAGAGGCGACCACGCGCACTTTTCTGAATTTTAGTTTCAAGGTGAAATTGGTGCCCCTGCATGCATCCAAATCGTTCCAATCGCAGATTTTCGTCACGCCACTTAGAAAGTTGCCACCAAAATCCAACCGAAGCAAAGTTCGAACGATTCCGAAAGAGGTAAATCAAAACGAAGCCCAGAAACGTGCACGATTTGTATGAAAAATATATTTATATCTGAGCAGACAATCGACTGGCTACAGAATCAAACAGGCAAAACGGCATTAAGCAGCACGTCCAGGACATAAAATAGCAACTACGACAGCATTGCAATTGGATCACAGAAATCTACACACTGATGTCCCGGCCAGGCGCCTCTGCAGCTGCCAGCAGTGCTGCTGGCAATCTGTGCGACCTGGGCGCGTGCATCACCAATCCCCTGGCCAACCCCGATTTGTTTGTCAATCTGCGCGGCCCACTCGCCACGGCCGTAAAGAAGCTTTTCCAAGGAACGTCGCCCGCCAGACGACTGACTCTGAATGGGCGCAGCTCCCACGAGTGCTCCCGGCGATCGAGTGCCGCCGATGAGAACGCTTCGCCGAATTGCTTGGCTCAAAGCAAGCTCAGTTTAAGCCCTCGGAAAGGGATGTTGCCAAGAAAACTGGACGAACGGAAGCTGGAGAAGGAACTGAAAGGAAAACTGATAGGAGGGGCAGAAAAAGTTCGTTGTGGGAATCAGCAGATCGTCGAATATACGATCCAATGTCGAGTGATCGTGAACCGACCACAACCGATCAACCAATCGAACTACTTGAAGATTTCCCTGAATAAGCTGACGAAATCCGTTGCCAGGATTAAGCTGCCGTCGGCAAAGTGGCGCTTCGTGGTTAATGGCATCAACAAAAAGACCTTGTGCGTGATTTTCCATCGCATTAGAGACGAAAACGGCCTGCAAAGTGTAAGGTTCGATCGGGTCGTCATTTTCAAGCACGGGAAGTACTTCCTCTACATAGACGACAAGAAAGTCAGTCTGAACGGGGCCCCAGTCACGATCAAGTCTGCGGCGGATGTTGAGATATTGGTGGACATTATGGAGATGCTGACCCTGACCAGCGACCTTGTGGAGATAACCGAGGATGCATATTAGGAGGCACTGCCACTAGTCAGCCTTCGAGCCTTTTAAATTGTACAAATAAACCTACATAAAATACTCGCATATAAATTGAACTATGAGATAAACAATAATCCCTATTACTTATCACTCATTGCCCCCTGTCCTTGTCCTGTTGCAGGTCTTGCCGGGACTGTACGTGGGAAACTACCGCGACTCCAAGGATCACGCGCAGCTGGAGAGGTTCCAGATATCGCATATCGTCGCCATACATGACAGTCCCAGACGTCTCTTGCCGGTACGTGAACAACACAACACAACAAAACACCAACCCATCCCACTCGCAGGCAGCGATCTGATCTCTGTTCCGATCTCTTGCAGGACAAACACTACCTGTGCGTGATGGCCTCGGACACGCCGGACCAGAACCTCTCCCAGTACTTCTCCGTCTGCAATGATTTCATCCACGCCGCCCGGCTGCGGGAGGGCAACGTGCTCATCCACTGCCTGGCGGGGATGTCGCGCTCGGTGACCGTGGCCGTGGCCTACATCATGACGGCCACGCACCTCAACTGGAAGGAGGCGTTGAAGGTGGTGCGTGCGGGTCGCGCTGTGGCCAATCCGAACACCGGCTTCCAGAACCAGCTGCTGGAGTTTGAGCAGTTCAAGCTGTCAGAGGAGCGGCGCCGGCTACGGGAACGATTCCCGTCCGCGGCCCTGGAGCAGCTGGACCGCCTGAAGGTCGCGACGGCACTGAACAACTACAAGGAGCTGCTCCAGAACCGGGACATCTGCGAGGGCAACTGTTCCCGCGGCGAGAAGTGCCCCACAGGTGCGCACACTTCCCCTTCCCCTTTCAGTCCCGTAAACGACGCGATAGCCGACGAGGGGGCGGCGGCTCCAGTGGATCGGCTGCAGACCGAGACCCTGAAGTTTGTGGTAGAAAAGTGGAAGCGCCAGACCTTCGAGCGGACCCACAAGAACCTACACGAAGAGTCCTCTGGCTGCCGCAACAGCAGCTCCGGCGAAGAGATTATGCCCAACGTGCGTTACCACAATGCGGACAGCGACAGGGGGCGATTCGTGAACAATCTGGACGGGGATCCAGAGGAAGACGTCCGCCACAGCGCCTGCACGTCGCACATGAAGCGTCTGGCCAGGTGGTACGAGACCACGCACCCTCCGCAGCAGGCGCTGGTAGTTCCACAGGTGGCGCAGGCTCTGACCAAACGGCGCAGGCTGCGTAAATCCAAAAAGAATCCCAAGGGCGGCAAAAAGAAAACACCGATAGACCAATAAAAGATTTTCCGTGCTCGCAAGTTATTTTAAAGCTATTTTCCATCCATCTTGTTGTGTGCTTGCAGGCGTGTGCAACATGGACCCCACCAAGGGACTGTTTCGGCGCCGTCCCTCGACGGCCTCGACCCACTCGCGTTTCCGTGCCCAATCCTCCAACGCCAACAACGCCTCGTCCAGCACGCTCAGTGTAAGCGGCGGCGGTGGCGGCGGCGGTGGCGTCGCTGCCCAGTCCTGCCCCACATCGCCCAAGCACTCGCCCCTGCCGCTGCCCCGCCGCTCGGTGGGCAACGAGCGCACCACCATACCCGAGGACGATATTCCCCTCGACCAGCCGCCCACCACCTCCAGCGAGGCGGCCCAGTATGCCGCTGCCATCGAGGAGGCCCGCCGAGAGCAGGAGCAGCGCTCCCAGCTCCCTGGTAAGAGCCAGGGACTGGCCTCGGCGAGGCCAGGAAGCTCCACGAGCGGCGCTTTACGGGTGAACAGTGCAGGGAGTCGGAGGGAGTCCAAGGGCAGGGACGGCTCCGACGGCTCCAGCTCCCAGCTGCAGCGCAGTGCCAGCACCGTGAGCGGCTTTGGGGTGCGTCCGCGGAGCAGTCCAGCAGGTCTGCATGCCTACACGGGTGAGTGGGGCCCTTTAACCCCACTTCAAATCTCTAACACATAAGACATTCTTTTGTTCTGTTCTGTTCTGCAGGTTCGGTTCCCTCCTTCATCCACGGATCACGCGTGGATCTGCGGGACCCCGACAAGGGTTCCGCCATTTATCTGGGCTGCTCCGCACCGCGGGCCTCCACGCTGTCTATAGCATCGTCGCGCGGCTCGTCGGGTGGCTCGGCGCCTCCGTCGCCCTGCAACACACCTCCAGCCAGTCCACGTCACATGGTTAAGAGGTCAGTACTCGATTCAGCATCATCCAATCCCTTGCTAATCATAGAGAGAGCCTCCTCCTCCTCTTCCTTCCCCTACAGATCCACTAGCCTGGTGAAAAAGCCGAGATGAAGGCCCGGCCAGAGGGGGGCATTGTACGCAAAACACTGGAACTACTTAGTCTTTAATCTGTAATCCGTAATCCGTAATGCCTAGGCAACCGGCATGGCATCCCATTGGTAAACGCGCGCGAGACCTGCAGCATTATTTGGAGAAGATGGAGGATTGCGTGGGAATCGCTGGCTAATCTTTGGCTTACTTCTTTTAGACGCCAAGGCTGTGTGGCATCCTGCGTTGCCTGCTTTTGGCTGCTGGGCCTCGGCTTTGGGAGCAGCTTGAATCAAAATCAAATGTGGAGAGTTTATTTTTCAGAGACGCATTTAATAAGTACCGACATATACATATACACACACACATATTTACTGTATATAGCGTATATAGCGTACTCGTATGTACATACATACATATATTTATACGAGCAGATTTGTTGTCGGTCCCAGTCTGACCAGCAAGGACTAAGGACTGGCCGACCGACCACCCCCTAGGCCCAGGATTAGGTTCAGGCCCAGCCCCTGGCAGCACGACGGGCATTTGTTAGTTTTTTTTGTACCAATCAAGCGAGGCGTGGCGTGGCGAGGAGAGGCGAGGCAGTTGGCAGTCGCACCGCACAATAATTGAGAATTGTACAATTGCGTATTTTTGATTAGATTCATTGTTGAAAATATTTTGATAGCAAAAACAAAAAAATAATGGTTCCACAGGGAAACCAGAAACAGAAGCGTTATATACATTCATACCTAGCTGATATTGATATTGATACTCGGCCCCGTATCGAGATTGTTACTGTAGAGTTGTTGCATTGTGTAGCATTGAATATATAAACCAAGTTTATTAGCTCACTCCTCACACCCCCACACGCTCACTATCACTCTCTCTCTCACTCTCTCTCGTGAGATAAACAATACTGGAGGATATTTCAAAATTAGGGCAATACACAAAATTAAAGCTAAAAAAAAATTAAACTAAAAACCAAAAACGCATTGAAGTGTGCTTTAAAGCTTGTGGCTTATCGTTATCGTCAAGATATGAACAAAAACACAATTAGATTTGTAATTTGTAAGCGCGTAAATTTATTTACAACACTTCCTAGAATATCGAAAAACAATACAAGGGAGATTTGAGACATTTTTGCAAGCTGGCTTTGGCAAAAGAAGGAAGGTGAAGAAGGTTCAGCTTAGGATGCGGATCGGTTGGTGGGGCAATCAAATATATTGTATTTATAATGCCTAGAGAAATGCACAAATCGGTTTTAAACTAAAGTTATATATTGAAAATCGTTAAGTTTGACAAAAGTAAATACAATTATTATACAATAATAAAGGCAACTGTCTCCAAGACACAGAAATTTAAATAAAATCTGACACATACTAGCTTATAAAATAAAAGCCCCACGAATATTCCTAAACATTTTATTTAGTTTTTGTTGGCGTTTATTTAACAACCATTGGACCAGCGGCCATTGAGCATTTTCAATTTAATTCAACATTTTTCAGTCGTCCACTTTCTTTTAACTATTTGAATTTAACTGCTGTTGCTGTTCCTAGTTGTTTGGTGGCAGTCACATTTATCGTCATTTTCGATAGGCAGTCGTCGGCGATCGCACTCATTAGAGCAGAGCAAAATGTTAACCCATTTAGTGCCGAAGGGTTTTAAAAAACCTATTTTATGAATATAATAACAAAATTTACTCGAAAATATGGTCCATTTGTTTATAAGCAAAGATTTACGGTGCACTCATCTATTCTTAGGCAGTCGTGGAGCGCGTAAATTTATGTTTTCAATCAACTATTAATGGCCCTAAATGGGTTAAATTGTATATGTGAATTTGTGAATGTGTGCATGTCAACAACAAAATGTAAGCAATATACAATTCATAACAAACAAATCACAGATACAAAATATGCCGCCAGATTTAAGCGTGCAGCATCTGAAAGAAACAACAATGACAGCGAGAGTTGTACCAATTGCTGACCAGAGCATGAACTGGCATATGGGAGAGGTGAGCTGAGTCAAATCAAGCAGGTCTCAGTGTCTAATTCAAATCCTGTTCGAGCCGCAGGTGCTCCGGGGCCTGTATGTGGGCAGCTGTCACGACTCCAAGGATCACGCGCAGCTGGAGAGGTTTCAGATTTCGCACATCGTCGCCATACATGACACTCCCAAACGTCTGTGGCCGGTAGGCAACAGGGTTTCCACACTGCGTTCGCTCGAGTTACTCCGTTTCGATTTCTTCCAGGACAAACACTACCTGTGCGTGATGGCCTCGGACACGCCGGACCAGAACCTCTCCCAGTACTTCTCCGTCTGCAATGATTTCATCCACGCCGCCCGGCTGCGGGAGGGCAACGTGCTCATCCACTGCCTGGCGGGGATGTCGCGCTCGGTGACCGTGGCCGTGGCCTACATCATGACGGCCACGCACCTCAACTGGAAGGAGGCGTTGAAGGTGGTGCGTGCGGGTCGCGCTGTGGCCAATCCGAACACCGGCTTCCAGAACCAGCTGCTGGAGTTTGAGCAGTTCAAGCTGTCAGAGGAGCGGCGCCGGCTACGGGAACGATTCCCGTCCGCGGCCCTGGAGCAGCTGGACCGCCTGAAGGTCGCGACGGCACTGAACAGCCACAAGGAGCCGCTGCAGAACCGGGACATCTGCGAGGGCAACAGCACAGCAACCGACGCGAAACCTCACCAGGGAGAGGTGCGGACCAGCATGGCCTACAGCTTGCAGTTTGCGGTGGAAAAACGAAAGCCCGTGTCCCTTGATCAAACCACAAAAAAACAGCATAAAAACATCTCCAAGATTAGCAATTGCGGCGAGGAAATAATGCCCAATGTGCGTTACTGCAAAGCGGACGGCAGCACGGGACGCTTCTGCAATGAGTTCCTGACTGGCAGAAATGAAGCGTCTGGCTCAGAGATTACAGGAGCAGGCGACAACGCAGCGCAGGGCAGCAAATAGACACCTTAGACCTTAGATTTGTACGAGTACTCTCTCCAGTTGGTTTATTCATCCATTAAGGTAGGGCTATTGACTATTCGGTTTAGTTTAAGTTAGCGATTGAATTTGTTTAGACAACGACTAGATTTATAATCACTCTCACAATATGCTGATGCTACACAGATACCACAATTACACACTGGACGGGGCACAGACCCCCATGCCACCCCGGGAACATGCCAACAGGAATTCGCTGGGGGGCCTGTGCCTAGTCCTAGACACAACACTAAAAGCGATAGAAATACTTGGCTATACTATGCTGAACACAAATTCCACTAAGATCCCTGTAGTTGGGTTATACTATAAGTACTAGGCCTGACGGCACCCTACACCTCCACATGGTTCAGGAGCAGCGGGGTGTTGGCAGTGGGATAGGAGGAGGGACGCCGCTGATTCTGCTGGCCGCTCACCACCTCGATGCTCTGGCAGGACAGAGTCAGCGACAGCGTCGTCTCCTCGTAGCGCGAGTGTGTGGAACCGCCCGAGGAGCGTCGCAGCCCCGTGTAGGAGTCCACCTCGAGAAGGGCCTCGTCACTGAAAAGAATTCCAAGGATCAGTTAATTTCTTGCCCGAGAGACGCAGAAAAAGAGACAACTGCAAACCTGTGATAGCGATGATGTTCGAGGAGACTGCCCGCGGCGAAGCGCAACTTCTTGGGCGACTCCAGGCTGGAGGATCGGGTCAGCGAGTTTCGTGGCAGATGCTTCTGCTTCAGCGATGACCGTATGCCGTACTCGTTGGCCTGGTCGTGGGCCTGCTTGATGGTGCCCTGGATGAACTTGTTGAGGGCCCGCGAGCCCCTGCGCTGGGAGCGTTCGTAGGTGCGACGTGTACGCGCCTCCTCGTCCTCCCCCAGCAGCCAGTACGTGCGCTGCTCGCCCTTGCCCTTCATCGAGATCATGCCACGCTCCTGGAAGTGATAGCCGCCCACGCGATCCAACAGCTGACGACACTGTCCGCTGCAGTGGATCTTCAGGGGCACGCCGCTGGACTCCATGCGCGAGGCGGTGTTGACGGTGTCCCCAAAGAGGCAGTAGCGCGGCATCTTCAGGCCCACGACGCCCGCACAGACAGGGCCCGAGTGGATGCCGATGCGCAGCAGCAGACGATTGGTGGGCCGATGGCGGATCTTGAACTCGGAGACGGCACTCAGCAGGTGCAGCGACATGGTGGCAATCTCGGCCGCATGCAGATCTCCGTTGCGCAGCGGCAGTCCCGATACGACCATGTAGGCATCGCCAATGGTCTCCACCTTGTAGACATCGTAGTGGCCGATGATCGAGTCGAAGCAGGTGTAGAGATCGTTCAGAAAGTCGACCACCTGCAGGGGCGTGCACTCGGCGGACATGGCCGTGAAGCCGACTATGTCGCTGAAGTAGATGCTGACCTGCTCGTAGTGCTCGGGATCCACCTTGTGGCCCTTCTTCAGCTGATCGGCCACGCAGCGCGGCAGCATCTCGTGCAGCAGTGCGTCAGTCTTCTTCTTCTCCTCCTGCAGCTGGTCCGTGCGATCGTCGACGAGTGCCTCCAGATTGTTGGCATACTTCTCCATCATGGCCATCATATTGTCGAAGATGTTCGGCCGCATGCCCTTGCGCAGGGGCCGCAGCTTGGCCCGGATTGTCTTGAAGTCGGGCCTGTCCTCGGGCCGCTCCGACCAGCACTCACGCAGGCACTCGCTGACGCAATCGAATGCCGTTTCCAGTGGCTGCAGCGAGGGTCTGTACGGATTCAGCTGATCCTGCGGCTGGAGCACCTTTTGCAGGCACTGCATGGGTGCCAGGCCCGTCTCCCCGAAGGGTCCGCGCCGCACATGCATCTCGTAGAGGAGAATGCCAAACGAATAGGAATCTCCGCGCTGTGTGCCCATGACCAGTGACGAGGGGCCCAGCCTGAGCAGCTCCGGGGCGCGGTACAGCAGCCCTGCAAAAGAATAATAGTTCCATTAGAGGAGGGGGCCAGGATAGTGGGGGGGCAGGCGGGCACTCACGGAGACACTTGGCCGACATGTGCTGCATGTCCATGGAGCTGTCCTCGATGCCCTGCTTGAAGGCAAACAGCCCGAAGTCGGTCAGCTTGACCACCCATCGCGAGTCCACCAGACAGTTGGAAGTGCAGAGTGCCCCATGGAAGCGGATGGGTGACTCGTGCAAATAGATGACGCCCTGCGCAGCACGGGGAGGAGAGGCAGGCAAGGGTTTCAGGTTTAGGGGTTGGCTGGCCATTAGTATAATGTTACAGCACTCACGCGAATAATGTCCGCCACCATGGAGGCAATGAACATGTTGTCCAGCTTGACGTCTTCGTTCTCCAGAATGTCCTGCAATGAAACCAGTGCAGAGGTGGGGTGGGGTGGGGTTAGAGTGGAGTCTATGTAGTACTGGGACCGCTGGACTGACCTTAAGGCTGCCGCGGGTGCAGTACTCGCTGATGATGCAGATGTTGGGCGGATCCGTGCAGGCGCCAATGAAGGCGCAGATGTTGTCGTGGCGTGCGTCGCGCAGCTGCGGAACACAATGCAGAAACTGCAGAAACGCTGGAGAGTGGGCAGCCTACGGCTCAGAGACTCACCAGCTTGAGTTCCTTCTTCATTTCGCGCGTGATGTCGACGCTCTTCTTGCGCACCTTCTTGATGGCGTACAGCTGACCCTTGTAGAGGCCGATGGGCGTGAAGATGGTCGTGTAGCGGAAGTCGGCATCCGGATTGGAACTGAGGCTCACCTGGCTGGTGCGTATCAGCGGATGGGTGGACTGCGGAGGAAGACGACGTGGCAAGTGATTTAGCAAAAGCTGTTGTCAGACATGCAAAGGCAGGAGAAGAGTCTTAGACCTTGGCCCCCCCACCGTTTCAAGATCCCGACAGAGTCATACATAAAACCCACTTGCTGCTGACAGGCAACACAACACAACTCAACCGGATGTGGATGTGTCTGCCCGTCTGCATCATTAAGTGAAATGCCTGTCACTGCCAGAGACTTACGCGCGTCTGCTTCTGGCTCTGCTGCTCCCGCTCGTTCTCGTGCATCTGCACCTCGCGAAAGTCTATCTTCCAGAGCAGGCTGTCCAGCTCCTGCTCGTAGCGCCAGTTGCGGTACAGGACCAGCGAGACAACGCCCAACAGCAGCAGCGCTCCGCCAGCAATCGCCGCTGAGATTTCGCCCGTGTAATCTGTGAAGCACACACACACAAAATAGAAATAGAACTCAGCGCAGTTCGACCAGTGGAGCAGAGCTCCCTCGCATGGGTACTTACTGACACACTTCTCGCCGCTAAAGCCGCAGCGTGGCGCAGCTGCGGGACGCGTGCCGCCCACCCAGTCGATGGGGCTGTACAGATTGAGATCCTAAGGGGGAATTACAGACAGAGAGACCAGAGAGTAGGATTAACAGCAAATAACATGGACAAACAGAACAGGTGTGTGTGTACGAACCAAGCCAAAAGCGCTCTTACCTGCTGCTGGACGTGGCCAAGCGTGTGTGGGTGCAAGGGGGGGCAGAGAGCAAATTACAAGAGTAGATTGAGAGAGGGATTTCACTTACGGGCAACGCGTCGCTGCTGAGGCTGCTGAGGCTGCTGTTCCTGTGACCGAAGGTGCCCACGGGCCGGAGTCCGAGCACCGTCTGGTTGCGTCCGTTCCTCGCCGTGCCCCTGGCTAATACTGTGTAGTTGCCGGCTGCGTCTCCGTTCTCGTCGATGTAGACGTGGTAGCTGAAGCGGATGCGGAAGAGATTCAAATGGAGGCGATCCAGGCGCTGATGGGAGCGAGCACTCACCCCATGGCGCTGCGATAGCGCGAACCCTTGATGGCCGACACAATGGCGCTGCCATTCTTGGGCCGGCCGCCCGACTCCAGCACTTCCAGCAGCGCCTTGGCATACAGATGCACAGCATCATAGAGATAGGCAGCCTCGGCACTTATCTGTGGGGGATGCAGAGGGAGATGGATGGAGGCAATAGAGAGAGATGCGGCTTGGGTTTCCTTCAGTGCGTGCGATGCAAACCTGCTTAGTGCCCCCGAAAAGGCCCAGCGGATTGGGGAAATTGAATGGCGGTCGCTCCATGTATTTGTTGACCTAGAAACAGAAACGAGGGTCGTGTCAGCATGTCTGTCTGTGCTCAATGTGGCGAGAGGGCCGACAATTATGAGATGAGATCAATCACATCGCTGTCAGGGCGCTGTCAGTCCCGCTGCCAAGACACCAAGGCACCCACCTCATGGGCGAACGTGCCGAAGGAGATGGGCGCTGTGGGGACGATGCCCAGATAGGACTGGAACGCCTGCACGGCCAGCGGCTCCACCTCCTCCAGCAGCAGTCCACGCAGATACTTCTCGGGCTTGGCCGGCTCATACTGCTCGATGTCGATGCCCACCACAAAGTAATCGCCTGCCGAGAGCAGTCCCCGCCTCTGGAGCGAGACCATCAGGCCGACATGCTCGTAGTAGTGCCCCAAAATGAGGTAGACTGTGCAAAGGAAGGGGATTAGTTGACGGAAGATGATGCAGACTCCTCGCACTCCCACTCACTGCGCGTATTGACGTGGGTCTGCTCGACGAGCGCCTCAAACGGATTGGCCATGAATCCGTGATGGTATATGGTGTTCCAGGTGCGGACGTCCCGAATGCTGACGCCAGCCGCACTCAGTGTGCTCAGGATGGTCTCCGCCACCGGCTGGTACTGGCCGCTGGCATCGTCCAGGTAGAGGAAGCTCACCTGCGTCCAGTTGAAGGCCAGCAGCAGTGCCACCACCGACTTGGAGATCTGAGTGTCCGGCGGCCGGGTCCTCGCAAACGTCGGAAAGTCGCCCTTGTTCGAGGGATCGCGATGGGTGCAGTACTGTGGTGGGGGGATTACACAGGATTAAGTGGGTGCTCAACTGGGTTCAAAGGTTACTCACGTAGGATATCATTGGCAGGTTGAAGGCGGCCGCCATGCGCCCCTCGTGCACGCACGTCTCCTGCGGCCCAATGTAGACGGCCACCTGCTGCGTCCACAGCGCCGCCGTCTGCCGTATGCTGGCCACCTCATCGCCAAAGGTCTCGGCCACCACAAACTCCAGCGAGTGGCCCAGGGCTCCGAGTCGGCCAGCGTTGACCTGCTCCACGGCCAGCGAGATGGCCCCAGAGATGGTCAGGCCGGGCCGATGGTAGTCCAGGTTGCCCGGCCGCCGTTGCGATCCCGTCAGATAGCCCAGCGTGAACACATCCCCATTGGCCGGCGGCAGGGGGCAGAGCAGCAGCAGCAGCAGCAGCAGCAGTGGCAGTGGCAGTGGCAGCGAGAGCAGCAGTCTTGAGTGGTGGCCGGGGGGTGTGTACATTACGCGTGGGGGAGGCTGGGGAAACTGCTCCGCTCTGGATGGCGCTTAATTCAAATGGAATTGATTCGCTTCGCTGATGTGGGTTCCTTCTGTTGTGGCAGTGGCAGTGGCAGTGGCAGAGTCCTTGGCAGCAACTGTTTTCTTATGCAGATGCAACATTTTCGTTCATTTCGCATATCCTGTTCCGCTACCGCTCGTTTCTACTGCTTCTTAATTACGTTCTCGACTTGGGCCAGCTCTGCTCCTGCCCCTCTGTGTGCCCCTCTGTGTGTCCTTCGTTGCCTGTTTCCTGTGTTTTCTGCTTTCTGTGTAGTACAGCAAGTGAGAGAGAGCTCTTTAATCACAAAGTCGTTTATGCTCGAGTCCTGTAACAACATACGCACAAGGACATGGTCGCACGCACGGCCATGCAGGACTGCCTCTGATTTATGCGCTGGCACACCCACACCACACCACACCCATAACACACACACACACACGTACTAACTTTAGCGGAGGCTTAATCAAAGATGGCTGCCCTAATGACGCCAAAGATTCCTCTCACTTCCCGCAATTGCTTCAGCGGCAGGATGAGGCTTACTTAGGGCTGCTTCAGTGCCTGCGGAAGTACAGCCACAAAAGCCACAAAAGCCACAAATCAAGCAGTTGGCATGCGGAGATGCAACTAGTCAGACCAGACCACAATTCAACTGCCTGATAATGGTCGTAATGCTCGTATTCTACACTACACTTCAAGACACTTGCTGCCAGCAGATCGACTACAAATCCAACCCAGTAAATCGCTATATACTCGTACTCGTAAATGGCCATTTGAATGTTTTTATCGCAGATCAGGCGAAAGATAACGTGTTAATTTATGTTTAAATTAATTAAAGAGCATAGTTGATAACAAGTTTAATTAGCAAACCGTATTATTGCCGATGCTTAACTCAAGTTTCTCCACTGTTATAATTTCGGTTGAAACATAAATCACAGAAAAAGCCAGAACTGCCAGAATTCGCAAAAAAAAAAAAATTAACAAAAAACGCCATTAAAAAAAAAACGACAAAATTATTATCTAAACTGTGGTTAAAAAAGTTCCTTTAGTGAAAATGAAAAATGAAAAATTGAAAAAGCTTAATCTTTTTTTGCCAGCTTCGGGTGTCCTGGCAAGAGGTGTCCACAATCCATGTTTATTGCAAATGGGTAATAAAATACCCAAAAGGGTTTTTGTGTGTACCAAAAATGCAGTTTTTAGACTACTGAAAGTTTGAATAATATCAAGAATATTTTATTTCTTTCATTCAACTATGACGAACCTTCCCAAAAAGTGTTTTATATGTAGATAGTATCACTGTCTGAACTAGAAGTTTATTGGAATACGACATACATATACGAAGCAAGTGTCATATGGGTACCGTACGGAGCTGAAGTACTGAAGTTCTTAAAGCTAGCCAAGGAGCCATGGCATTGCCATATATCATTGGTTTCTGGGCGTGAAAAAGCCCGATCAAGCATGTTTTGGAGGTCTTTATGGGGCAGGATGTTGCTGATGCAGTCGAGCAGAGTAAAGTAATGTGGGGTAACCTTTGCTGATATTAAACTGCCACACATTTCGGGCAATGTAATGAAATTTTTATGAGAAATGGCGACGCATCAAGTGTGATTCTCACAGGGATGCTGCATGGCAACTTGCTGATAGACAAGAGAGCGGGCGCGCCTTCTCCGCCCACTCCACTCCGTTGAAACGTCTTTGTTTGCCTTTTGTCTGGCAGTAGCTCTCAGCTCCCTCCCCCACTCCCACTCTTCGTGTTGGCTGATTGCTTCTTTCACACGCCCTTCTGGCCCTTCTCACTCGCCCCCATTGTGTGAAACCAACATCAGTGCGGGGTGGGTGCTGGGGCAATGGGGCCTGCTGCGAGTGCTGCTCGATTCGATACGACACGAGTATTGGCAGAACCTTTGCAGCTTCTTGCAGCTCTCACAGTAATTTATTATATTGACTCTAGCAGCAGCAGCTACCCCGCCGGAAACCACTTGAAAGTTAGCTGTCCCCTGGCATATTGACTTTCCTTCCCCCTTCTTGACCCCAGCGGCTGAATGGAGGATGCGCCTCATGGCTCATTGTATTCCCCTTCACTTGGCTTATTACACGCGCTGCGTGTGCCGTCATCCCGCTCCGTTTATGCTAATACAAGTGGCTTAGTACGACCCGCCCTCCCGCTGCTGCTCTGCCCTGTTATAAATGGGCGCTGGCATCGCTTAATAACGCGTCTTTTGGTCATAAATCCAGCGTAAGCTCGTGACGCGCCCATTGAGCCGGAGCGAAGAGTTCTTGGATCTTTGGTTAATTGTTGTGCCACAGAGAGGACGAACTCCACGCTCCTGCAACGCCTGCACTTGACACAACAATTTCGCAAGCCATTTATCCGCATCCTGCAATGGAGGGGGGGCAGCACACAAAACCAAGCCAAGCTCTTCTTTCCGCTCCAGTTAGTCCGAATGCGAGTACCTTCAGAAGGTTAGACTTGCTCTGTGCACAGGAGGTCACAGCGGCACTGGGATCTGATTCTGCTGCGGGCCTAATCAAGCACGTGCCTGGGGGCAGAGCCAAACTGCAGCATTCCGAACAGTTTAATTTGTCAGCTCAACCCAAATGTCAGCGTCGGAGTGTGGCAGCGTGGCAGTGTGGCAGTGTGGCAGAGTGAAGTGCAGGCAGATGTTTTTCATTGTTTCGCTTTTATCTGACATTGATGCACCCCCCCATCAAGCGCCCGGGCGCCAGGAATGCCAACCACGCTCGACTCTTGACTGGAAGTTGGAGCTGTCAGGCAATTAAGTGCAATTTGTTAGCCGGTCCCCATGCAAATGCAACTGCAGTCAGTCGGAGATGGAGATGGAGTGGTGGCAGGGCAGCGGGGAGTGGCGAGTGCTGTGCTGCTGGTGATTAATCGGACAATCTACAACAAGTGCCATAAAGAACAATTTTTTCGCGTGAGAGAAATACGAACGAACTGAAGCGAACAGGAGGAACCGTGTGAAAATCTGCGGCCAAGTGGATGGCTGAAGTCATTCCAAACCATAAACGATCGTCGCTCGATAGACTGGTGGCTGGTGGCTGGTGGAATCCGGCCGCACTTATCAAGAGTAGATATCAACGGCAATAAAAACTGAACCCGCAATCTTATCGAGCATAACTGCGTTTGATTCGGCGGAATGCCTGCGAATAAAGGGTTCCTTGATCGATTCCCCAGTCGATTACAGAATGCCGACGAGAGCGTTTCTACTGCTAGCCCTAGCGCTTGCCTCAGCTGCCACGGCTGGTGAGTGGGCCCAAGGTCGAAGGTCGCAACTAATCAAATGTTCTCTCCTTTATTCAGTTCATGGCCAGGCTGCCGGCTTCCTTCTCTACACGCGCCGCACCGCGGAGAGTCCGCAAACCCTTGAGCCGGAGGTGGAGTCGCTGGTGCGCAGCTCTTTCTATGCCGCCGATCCCATTGTGTGAGTCATCCCAAGTGGCTGAAGTGGTCGAAGCCTCGAACGCTGACTAGAGTCATCCGCTTTCAGGCTATCCCTTCCCCGCTGGCTGGGCAACAGCTCCGCGCCGGAGCACTCGGCCGTGGTGGCCGCCCAACTGGAACAGCGGGAGTGCAATGTGATTACCGTGGATCTGGCGGAGACCACGGACGAGGCAGCCATCACCGAGAGCGTGGGCAGCCTGATCGAGCTGCTAAATCGAAACTTTGATGTCCCGCTGGCGCGGATTCTGCTCGTGGGCTTTGCGGAAGGGGCCCATCTGGCGGGCGCTGTGGCTGCCAAAGTGCAGACCGCTCTTGGCCAGCGACTCCCGCAGCTGACAGCCCTGGATCCCACTGAAGCCTCTCTGCAGCATGTGCTATCGCCCTCCGATGCGCAGTTCGTGGAGGTTGTGCACACCAATGGCGGCGGCTTGGGCACCTTGGAGCGCCTGGGCCATGTGGACTACTACCCCAATGGAGGGGAGACACAGCCGGGCTGTGTGGAAGATTCCTGCTCGCATGAGCGCTCCTTCGAGCTGCTCGCGGAGATGTGGTCCCCGGAGAACGACTTTGTCAGCGCCCTCTGCGGCTCCGTGGAGACAATGAACGTTCAAAACTGCCGCTGGACGTCCCTCAAGATGGGACAAAGGAGCCAACGGGAACCCACACCCGGCATCTACTTCCTGGAGACGCGCAGCGCCCAGCCCTTCGCCAGAGGAGCCTACCACATCAGCTTCCTGTGAACAGACCCAATAAAGAAAGCCCCCAGAAACGATGGAAACAAAGGGGCAGGCCAGGCCTGTCATTAGTCATTGCAGCCCTGTGCCCCCCCTGCGGGCAGGAGCCGCCCTGTTTGGAGCGACAACTGCCAGAATTGATGTGCGTCAGGCGTTTGCCTCATTCATTATTTTAAAATCAATTTGAAAAGGTCTCCCCTCCCCCTTCGTCATACATTACGACGCGCGTCCCCAGCCGGGATGAGTGGAGCGTTACCCTTATCTTCAGGAGAAGTTTCCAACTTTTCTTCTGTTTTCCCAGCACTCCATGCCTAAAAGTTTATCAGCAATCGAAACCGCCTCTTTGCGCGTACTCAAACGTGTTCCTATCCTTCCGGATGGGAGCAGATTTATGAATTTGGAGGCAGGAAAGCACAGGGAACACACGCTGTGCATGAGTCGTGAGTGCAGTGAGGAATACTCGCGGTATATTCACGGGAAACACTCGATTACTCAACAAACATTATCGTGTCACGCGCTCAGCTCGAATCGAAAGCTTCGCTCTGTTGTCTCGCATATCTCTGTGCGATTTTATGGGGAAATTCCTTTGTACAGGGCATGCCATGACTTTCATGCAATGCGGGTGGGGGGTGGGTCGCCTCCTCCTGCTCTGGCTCCTGCTGTGACCGCCCGCCCGCCGTGTGCGTGTCAACTGAAAGTCGCGCGAAAGGAAAACTGTCACAAATTGCATTTAAATGCGCTGTACTTAAGTTTATCTTTCGGGCAATGTCGTCTGCAGCTTCCCCCCAGCAACCGCGGAGCCAAACTTTGTGGCGAAACCAATTTGCTGCGTGCCCAGCAAGCAAGCAACCAATCCCCGGGCTAATCCCTCTCGTGCAGTGCGCTCACGTACGCTCATCCATCCGAAGATCCATTTCCTGTTTTCATTACGAAACATGCTGCACCCTTGCCCCGCACCCGAACCCGCACCCTCTTTATGGTGCACCCATCGCTTGGCTGAGTGTCACTCAATTGGCTAATTAGCAGTCAATGATGATGGCTGATAAGCGGCCAACGCTCCGCGATAGCGAGCGCCCAAAAGCAGGCAAACAAAAGGGATAACTTTCCCATTGGATGAAAAGTTTTCGCAACGCTCGAGCGCGCTCATTGGGAGCTTCATTAGCGGACACAAAGGTTGTGTCCCAGAGCGTTCGAGAGCTCTGGGACAACCAGCTCTCTTCCGGCACATCTCCGGTGATTTATGAGCGCGCGCTTTAAAGTTGCACATTGCTCAGTTGAGTTGCCACCAAGCCAGCCGAGCTGGCAATGTGGGTTAAGCGGGCATTAAACCCGCCGCAAGGAGAATCCGCTGTGACTGTGACTTAGCTGCTCATTTGCCTGCACTTGGCCTCCACGGTGCGCCACTGTTCGAATCTCGGTCTCCGATTCGGCCCGAGATGTTGGGCATTAAATGTCAGGCCATAAAACAGGAGCCCCGCACCCACTCTATGGGTCGCCAATAATGGGCCTGTAGGTGGGCCATTAGCCATTGACCCCAGCTCGTCGTTGCTGTTGCCTCTCCAGGCCCGGCCCAACCACAGTCCCTGGAAAATGTTGTCCATTGCCTTTTGCTATTCCTACTTTTTGTGGTATTTTCCCAGCACGTCCTGGTCCCTATCTCCCTCTCTCTGTCGCTCCTTGTGGCACACACATTCTCGTGGAAAGCATAAAATATTTTCATTACGGAATGTGTAACAGAAATTAAGTCGCAACAAATTTCATGTTACACATGAAAAGAGGATTCTGATTTTGCTCAGACGTTGGCTTCCCCAACTTCATATAAATAATTTCGTATGAATATAATTTGGATTAAGTAATCGATTTGTACAAGACCAAATTTAATCGACTTTCAAGGAACTGTGCCAATAAGGAGTATCAAATCTTCGGCTTCTAAATCTAAACATTGTTTTTTCCATTTCATTTCACTTTGTGCTTGTCGTTCTCTTTCTCTTTCAATTTGCTTTGCTTTTTGTAATGTTAATTTTAATGAGTCTGGGAATGCGCCTCTGAATTTGGCCAGCTCCAATTGATAAGGAATCTTTCTCTCCCTGCCTCTCCCTCAATTAAAGTTCCTTTGAGACACGCACACACTCACCCTTACACACACAATTACACGGACACATAAAGGTAAAAGTAAACGTACCCAAAGGTGGGCTCATACACTGCCTCTGCAGCACCCGCCTAGCGAATTTGGCGTTTTATGGCTATGTTAATTTTTGTACAACGTTTTTATGGGATGCCATTTGAACGGCTCACCAGTCCCCGAGCCAAAACCCCCAACCCCAGACAACCCGACCAAGCCCCCCCGAAAACTGTGCCAACTGTGGGCGAGGCTCTTTGTCGCCAACTCAACGCTGGTGCTGGTGGTGGTGGTGGCCCATTGTGCTGTTGCTGTAAGCGTTGATAAGCGACGACAGGCCGAGTGTAACATATGTCGAGCGCACACACAGGTTCCACACCCACATAGTGTAACCCCAGCGGGTTGCCCGAGGAAAGTGCTTTACATTTGGAGCTGCCTCCAGTGATAAGCGAAGGTTTGTCCAACTGGGAGAGCCGATTGAAAAGCCATCTACATACAGGTTTAATTAAATTTGCATGTTCTACGAGTGATAGAGCGGCGCCCCCAGCCATCAACCGCACTACAGGTGTGAATGGTGTGGTGGTACATCAGTTTTGCGGGTAATTTGCGTTCCACTGGGCACGACACGGACACGGACATTCCACTCTCCGCATAATCTCTTGGCCCCGTTTTGCGCTTAATCAGCAGCATTACTTTTATACATGTATATTGTGGGGGTATTTAGTTATTTAAATTCTCATGATAAGATGCGATGGGATGGATGATGTTCAAAGTGCGGGCCAAGAACATTCCAGAGATCCGAACCAGACAAATCTGACGCTGCCTGCGGTCAATAGCTAATGCATAATGGTTATGCTGGCCACGAACATCAATCATTAATCGTTGTTTTTTTTTTCATTTCAAATGCATTTCAAATGCAATTCCAAAAAGCTGCACGCAAAGAGCCAAAGCAGCAAACACACACACACCCGCAGCACACATGCAGACAGACAGAGAGAGACGACGCGACGACTGTCGATATGCCGTTGACTGTGGTCAGTGACAGAGAGGCAGCGACGCCGACTGCGAATGCAGAGCGGGAAAAAGCAATGCAAGAAAAAAAACTCGCGCCTTGCAGCAGCAGCAGCAGCAGCGCCACGAGTGGGCCAATGACAGACAGCGCGTCCCCCGCTCACCCACTCAGACGATCACCGTTTGACAGCAGCATGCATATGACAGGGCAGCGCAGCGCAGCCTCTGTCGCCACAGAAGTACGCGCTGGCATGCAGTGCTGCAACACACAAAGCATCGAATGCAGCGCCACGCGACGACTGACTCATTTTGGGGCTTGCGCTAAAACAAAAAATTTAAATAAGTTGTGGAAAAATTGCACTGCGCGCAACAATGCAGATTGTATGCCGTTTGGCCTGTTGCCGCAATTTGGCTTTACAGCTGCCGCCGTCTCTATCCATATCATTGTTTTTGTTTTATGGTGCTTATCAATTATGACTATTTTCCCACTGCATGTGAATTTGCTTAAATTTTTCAATTGCGTAAGAACTGTCATACGCAGAAACAAACACACTCATCATCCATATGCAGTTGAATATACATACGTATGTATGTACGTTGAGTGTGTGTTAAAGAGAAAGGCTGCTCTGCAGAGGAGGAAGCGCTGGCTGGCTGTTGTACTAACTCTCTCACACTTCATTTGCGCTGCGATGCTAATTGAAGTGCATATGGATTTTATAATAATATTGAAGACCGTTATTTATAGACTTCTTTTCACTCCGGCGCGTGTGTGTTAGAAGGGCGCGTACTTCCTACTCATTCCATCTTCTTCTCTCTTAATAGCTATGTATAATACTTTAACTGTTATTCTATGTGGAGCGGCTGTTGCTTACAAAATTTGGTCACGTTCAAAGTCACAAATAAAAAACTAGATATTCTCTTTACCATTTGCAATTTCTGAATTAATGAAACACTTTTTGTGTGCTGTGCTGTGCGGCAAGTGCGAGTGTGCGATAATTTATTAGTGCCACATTTCTGACACAGATTTCGATTTCGGACGATGGCCAACTTAATTCAATTTCTTCACGCGCACACTTCGTCACAGACCAGACCCCGCGGACCGGGGGTGCAAATGCTAATAATGCGAGCCTATATCACTCTATAAACACACAGATCACCGCACTTTTAGCCGGATCCACATACCGAGCCGCTGGCAGATTTTCCATCGTCTGACACCTGTTGTTGCTAAAGTCGCGGCACAATTTGCAGGCGCCGCGGCATCCGGAGGCAGCAGATGTTGGGCATGCAAAATAGTTTTTGTTTTAATGCTGCTCTGGCGATGGGGTTTGATGTAATCAATTGTATTATAAACACTCGACACGCGCCGCCCTATTTGCTTTTCATTGTGCTCGCTCCAGTGCCCGAATCCAACAATTTTTCGCGCGTTGAAACTCCCGCGCTTTTAAACTCGCGTCCGTCGTTCACAAACCGTTTTTAAAAAGTGCCTCGCCGTGGGACCGTTTTTCTGAATGCCGTAAATACCGAAAACAGTTGTTAACGTAACCGTAACGTAACCGCGTTACGTTACTCATTTGTTTGCTCATTTTGCGTTGGCCAGAAGAAGGGAAATTCAAATTTCGATTTTTTAGAGCATTTTTATAATGCAACCTACATATTTATGTATATATACATACATTGTAAGGCAACACCTATAAATGCATATCAAAACTCGTGCCATAACATATATTGTTACACATTGATACGTATAATTAAAAGTCGCGGTTATATCTGATCGAACGTTAAACTTTTAGACTAGTAGTAGTAGTTTCTGATGTATCCTTCAAAAATATCCATATCAAGATTATCGCTAGTCGAAAAACATATTATCAACAAAAAAATATATCGATAGATTTATGTCAATATCCCACATCGCTACTAAGAATTTAATTGCGCTCTCAATTCGTGGTGGGTTTTCAAAATTTGCTCTCTTTTCAAAATTTGTTCTTAACGGGAACGCGTATGGAATGAAGATTCATTGTTGCGTCATTTATATACGCGTTCCAGTAATATGCATTTGATCTGTATGAGAAAAATTTCAGCAACTTGGGGAAATGAAATAGCAGCATTGTTGTGCAACTTTGGCACGGTACGAGCAACAATCCGCATACTGTGGGAAAATGGATATTATGGACTTGAGATATTGTTTGTAATTTCAGCATCCAATTAATGCAGAAACTACTCAGTCTCTGTTTTAGAGATATTAACGAAATTTGGCATCTCACGGGTTCCAATAATAGGTATCAGAACCGGGATAAATGTATATATAAAACACAAACATGTGCATTTATAGTTAAAAAACATGTCAATCTAGGATAAAATCATAAATAATGTTTCAATGGAGCTTGGAACAAAACATTTAACATCAATTAAAAGAAATAAGGTATACAAAAGTACATACGCATAGAAGAAACTTAGTTGACCAGCAACACTGACGTCACATTTAGTCAACATTTACGTTTTATGCTTTGGCCGTTTTTGTTTGAACCCTATTATCTAAACAATCCCATTAAAAATAGTTCTGAAAACTAGCCAATCCCAAAAAAATTCATTGAGGAATTGGATAAAATTATTTGTTCAGGGCTGAGAGTCCCAGCTAGCCAGTAATATTAAACGGAATATCAAATTCGAGGTATATCAACGTTAAAGGTTTTGAAAGAAACAATAAATACTATCGTGATAGTATCGGGCTCAACTAATTATTAAAAAACCAATGAAACCTTTTAGGGACTTGCCCATTCTAAAAATTAGATGCCACCTGTCGGTTAGTTTACAAATGTGTCTCCGTATTTTATAGCAGCCAATCCAAACATATCAAAAGCGCAACGAATGTAGCTCGATACTATCATGATAGTCGCAAAACTGTCGATAGTAAAGGCTAGCAGTAAAATATCGATACTATCGATAGTGCCCTCGAAAGTTTGACACCTCTATTGTTCGGAAAAAATATTATCAACAAAAAATATATCGATAGATTTATGTCAATATCCCACATCGCTACTAAGAATTTCATTGCAAAAAAAATAAAATAGGAAACGAGGCAAACGGCAACGGCTACAGCAACTGCAAGAAAGCATTAACGGAGAAGAGAGTTGGAGAGTTTCGGCAGCCCAGGGCGTGTGTTAGCAACTGCAAAAAGTGCTAAATAGATTTATCCCGAGACAGCCACAGTGACATCGCAAGCAGCAAAATGAGCGGAGGCATGGACAAGAGAAAACTCTCGTAAGTACAAATAATTCGCAAGTTCTGCAAAATTTCCCCCCTCGTTCGTGCTATTTCTTCTTTTTTCTTCTGCTGCGCGTACACACACATTGAAGCCATCGGTAGAGTACACACTATTGTGTGTGTGTGTGACTAGCAGCTGCGCGCAGGCTGCGGCAGCGCAGTCGGCGTTTAATTGATTTTTCGCGGCAGAAGTTGTACGGCGTATGGCATTCCTGTGGATGTGTGTCCCGGGATAAACAAGGAGCAGGATCAGAACAAGCGGTGGTGGGGGGTGACGGAGACATACTATACTGAGAGAGAGAGAGAGCACAACAGTGTGACAGCTGCCGTTGCTGCATCTGAAACACAAACAGATTCGTCCTACGCAAGGCCAAGGATTTTCTGTCCTGCTGCAATTTTCCATTGATTGTCTGTGCCCCCTCCATCTCTTCTGCTGAATGGAATTTAATAATTAGTTCGTGCAACACCAAATCGGACTAAAACACCATGCAAATGCTTGCTGGGCGATAACAACAAGTGCGATCCACCCGCACCCATACAAGTACTCAGAAAAGAGTACCTGTTATCTATGGGAGTGTTTTTACAGCCGTTTTAGCTCCCAATTCGATGTCCCATGAGTAATTCTGACGGCCACCTCCATTTGGCCCAATTCTAAACGGCCATTACTTTTCCAAGGCGAAAGCGAATCCGAATTCGCGCTGCGCCTTCGTGACGACTGCCGTTGTCCTTGGCCCTGAATCGCCTTCCACACCACAATTACACCCCACCACCCAAAACTGACCTTGAATCTCTTATCCGCTCGAGTCCTAATCACCATCGTCATTGTCATCATCCCCTTCAAGGGGAGAGCATTTGGGCTTCGTTGCGCGGCCTCTTCTGCCCACCCAACGCTCGTTGTCTTATCAGCTTGTAGATTTTCCCGGCCCTGCTTGCAGACATAACATAACAACGGCTAGACCCAGCCCCATCAGTACCCCCTTTGCTGCTCGGGCTTATAAATAGCTACGCCCTGCCTACCTGCTCAAGAAAATCCATACAAAGTGCATGGGGTGCAATCTATGCTGCACGCGACCTCCGCTTAGGTGCCGCTGCTGCTGCTACTGCTGCTGCTGCTCCTGCTGCTGCTTTTCTGGCTCTGTCAATGCCAGCTGCTTCCGACGGGCCCGTGGTTACACATCAGACAGGGACCGCTCGATTCCAGAGTAGGGGCGCAGGCGCCTCCCTTGGCTATCGCGTGCCACTCCGCACCTAACTGTTGCTGGCATGGGCACTGACTCATCGCGGGACTCGTCAGAGCTGGCTTCTTATCGCCACGATGCAAGAAATGTTGCTGCTGGCTCAGCTCTGATTCGCAGATGACAGCAGCGCAGTACAGTATGCCCCCGCTAAAGAGCATTTTAGTATTTAATCTAAACGCACTGTTATCTAACCCGTTTTGTTATCAGAAGCGAATTCCAAGGTTCGCAATGTGAATGTTTTGGCAGCTATATGTGGGGGAAGCGTTATTATTAGAGCAACTTATAATGATTTTCTACATTTCATATAAAGGACATCGGGAGACTCGCTGTACGAGATCCTGGGACTTCCGAAGACTGCCACCGGAGACGATATCAAGAAGACATACCGGAAGCTGGCACTCAAATACCATCCGGACAAGAACCCCGACAATGTCGATGCTTCCGATAAGGTAAAACGATTGACTACGATTAATCGGGGAGTGTGCCCTACCTTATCCCTTTTCGTCTTTCGTCTTTGTCTGGATTTCAGTTCAAGGAGGTGAACCGGGCGCACTCGATACTGAGCGACCAGACCAAACGCAATATCTACGACAACTACGGCTCTCTGGGACTGTATATAGCCGAGCAGTTCGGCGAGGAGAATGTGAATGCATACTTTGTGGTCACATCGCCGGCGGTGAAGGTCAGTGCAGTGACACTTGCATACATAGATATAAATATATATGATATGTGCGACGCATCATCTGTATAATGATTTCTCCATTGCAGGCCTTGTTTATCTGCTGTGCAGTGGTCACCGGCTGCTGTTGCTGTTGCTGCTGCTGCTGTTGTTGCAACTTCTGCTGCGGCAAGTTCAAGCCGCCGGTCAATGAATCGCACGACCAGTATGCACATCTGAATGTGAGTGATGTTTGAATTGGCCCAGCCAAGACCCAGCCCTGTTCCCCGAGTCCAACCCCAACTCCGCCCGCTACTAACTGAACCACCCATTTTGATTTAGTTAAGAAACGACAAAAAAACAAGAAAATCAATCTGGTGCAAGTCTTAAATACCAAATCTTACTACTAACGCATGCCTCCCATACCCCACACATACACACTGTAATATCGCCCGAACTGAACACCCCACCCCGAACACTGAACACACATTTTGATGATTTTTGTGAGGCCATTTACCATATACCATTTACCATCACACGTAGTTCCGTTTGAGAAGCAAATGTTTAGTCAAAAACGTTCCCCCAAGGCGACGAGCACACATAAAACGCTTACCAGCTAGTAGCTTAACCCGATCAATAAACGCTTACCATTATTTAGTGCATATTATTTACTTGACTTATCAGATTGCTTGGCACGCCCTCTATCGTATACCAGTTAGCATATACAAACAATATGTTCGTTCGGTTTGCTTTTCTTTCGTCCCGTACGACGAATCTTGCACTGATCTGTTTTTAGTTTTTCGTTGGGGTAAGTATTGGTTTTGTTTTTCGTATTCCGTATTCAGTATTCAGTATTCAGTATTCCGGGTAAGCATTCAGAGCTGGGAGGCCAAAGGTAAACACAACTAACACCACACCCACAAGTGATTCGATCATTCAGTTTAAGTTTCCACAATATATTTTGTATGCAAAATTCGAAATTGATTCTATTTATTTTTATAACATGAACTTCACGAAAATCATCAAATGCTTCCAATGTCTCTCTTTCTCACTATCTCTCTCTCTCTCTCTCTATACATATATATATAAATATATACTACATAAATATATTTGTATGTGTATGTAAATATCTTTTGACTAAAAATAACACATAATCGGGTTTCCTGCGATATTCAATCTGGGGATTATCGAATCTCCAGACAAGTTTTGATTTGATCCACGATTGTTTTTCTTGTTTTTTGTACGTGTCCCATTCCGCATTCAGACTTTTGAATTGGTTTTCATTTACATATTGCATTCGCAATTCGCGCACTGCATTCTATTCCGCCTTATTCTTTGTTTATTTGTTTGTTTGTTCGTTCGTTCGAACGCAAACAAGAGAAGACGAAGATACGATTTACGTTTCTATATTTTTGTTTAACTTTTTTTCTCAAAACTCTTCGATCGACTCATCAATCCACCTACTACTCTACCCACCACCACCACCACCAACCACCAACCACCTTCCACACACAAACGGCTCCTCATTCGCTCCGAAAGCGCCCCGATGGCAATCGAGAGGCCAGTGATCTGCCACCGCACCTGGGACACCAGCCACGTCTTGTAAGTATGCGAATCGAAATCGAAAATGATACCGGCACGAGTACCGCATGAGATCTGAGCCGCCACAAGTCCGCCCCCCATAACCAAGCAACTACTCACTTACTACTGCTGCAAAACTAACCAGCCCGAATCTAAATCTAAATTTAAATCAAATTACGAGCTCCAGCCCAATCAAAACTGTTTTCTGTATGAACGAAATTTAGATGTCCCCCCCCCCAAACTTATTTAGTTGTCAAAATTGCCCCAGTGTAAATTGAAGAAGACGAAATGAAAGTGGAAAGTGTTTTGTGGGAGCGGGTTCGATCGTTCCATTCTGCTGTAAATGCTTGGGTAAATTACTTATGATTTTCCATTAATCGCTCTCCTCCGCTGGTTTAATTTTGATTTCGTAGTTTGTATTTGGCTTGAAGCTTCCCCTTTAATAAAACTAGCATAAATAAATGTAATATAATGCTTGTTTGTAGACCGCTCTGTAGACCGCTTACTACCAACAGTTTTTGACTAAACATTGCCGAAGGAACCACTCCGATCCACACTCTACTAACACACAAACACACAAACACACACGAGACTCTCGACAAGAGCTCATATTGCCCCGAGTATTTCTAACCCCGTTTCCTGTGTGTGTCCCTGCAGGAGGACGTTGATCTGGACGACGTGAATCTTGGTGCGGGCGGAGGCCCCGTCACTTCGCAGCCACGCGAGCAGCCCGGTGGACAGCCTGTCTACGCCATGCCACCGCCCAGTGGAGCAGCTGTGGGCGTGAATCCCTTCACGGGCGCACCCGTGGCGGCCAACGAGAATACGTCGCTGAACACCACAGAGCAGACTACATACACGCCAGGTATATAAAGAGTCGAGCCAGCTAGCCAGCCAGCAGTCGTTGGGTCGGTCGGTCGGACGGTCGGTCAGCCTCCGAAGAGGGGGTGGCATTAAAACTAATCCCTAAAGCGTCTTTGACCATCGAACTTGTTAAATGTGCGTGACGTAACTCGAACAAATATTGTAACCTCCGGTCGTTTTGAACCGAAACTGAAACAAAACAAAACAAACCAAAACAAAACAAAACTCTGTTAACTCTCGAAATATCCCAGCCAGCGCAGCGCCCACATACTCGTACATACATACACAACACCTCTCTAGCAGTTAAGCTCTCGTGTACACGATGTGGCCCAGTCCGAGGGCCGGGCCCGAATAGCAGTACATGTATATTTTTAAAGTCTCTCCATGTATGTAAAGTCTCTGCCAAGCCATACCAACACGTCCAGCCGGTCATGGGATCTGCATAGACACATACTCACTTTAGTTCGTACAACTTTTAGTTTGAAACACTGCCTGATCGATTGATTGATTTGATTTGATTTGTTTTATTTGATTTGACTGATGGCCGTCACATCCTTCCGTTCCACAGGTCTGCGGCACTCGCTCAGTCACCGCTCCTAAGCGCCCTTTCAAGCATTTTCAAGTTTTTGTGTTTTGTTAACATCTTAAATTGAATTACCAAACTGGCATCTCTCTCTGTCTCTTGCCACCAAATAAATTGCCATAGAAGGAACGGCACTGCCATAATCAGCTGTAAAGTTTATTCGTGTTACATATTTTGTTTACATTTTGTTCGATTTCGTTTGTTATGCAACATTTGGAATTTTTATTTTGTTATCACATATCACTCTCTACTCTATTCTCTCTTTCTCTCTCCACCTCTAGATATGGTTAAACAAAAATATTAGGCGAGCCCCAGGCCCCCTGTGCATGCGTACGTTTCAGATATAAAACCACACACACACACACACAGAAACAGAAAGCACAGAAAGAGGAAAAAGAAGTTAAAAGAAGTTAAGCAGAGCAGAGCAGAGCAAAAGCGCTGATTTATTTGATATCTATTAGAATTGTTTTTAAGATTGTGTGCGCATTATGTTGAAGCGAGAAAACATATAAACTTATGTATTACTGTAAGCTGTAGCACTTAACTCTAATTTTAAACAATCTAACTTCGAAGCGTAGTCTGGCAGCTTCCAATTGATTGCAGTTGCCGATGCCGATGGCAGTCAGGGTTGATTTTGGTCCATAATTCGTGTAAACGTTAAATCATTTCCATTGTTCAGGCCACAGATCCCGCAGGTCTGTACCCGTGCACCCATAGTTATACCATATAAGCATACGCATACGCATTCGCATACCTTACCCACATAACATAGAACTCGAATTGAGAGCGCACCAATAATATACATACCTATATAGAGTTCGATTATTTCGATTCAATTGTATGCCGATAGTTAATCCAATCAGATCTACGAAATATCTAGACATTTGCTTAGGGAACGGACTGCGGATTGCGGATCGCTCTCCTTCCTGCGTAGCTCCGTGAATTGAATTGTGTTTGTTTTAACCGAAAGCGAAGGAGGAAACTGTAATTATATATATATATATATAATATGTATGTATGTATATGATATATGTATGTGTGCATATTAGTTTGCATTTGTGTCGTTTAGCTAAATTGTTCTCGAATTTCCCTCTTCACCGATTGTTTCTGTTTCGCACCAAATTGTTAATGAATTAACTTATGTAAAGCAGAATATAGCTCTGTCGAACGGTGAGCGGCGGGCGGCGAGTCCAGTAGAGACATCTCCGCTCCGTTCCGATCCGATCCAAATGCAAATGTAAATAAGTCAACTTAAACAACTAAGCATCACACACCACACAGACAGAGGAGGAAGAGGCGGATGAAAGGCGAAACTTAACGGAATATATAAACTATAATAATAGCCCCCCATCTTTATACATATATAGTATAAATATATATATATATATTAAATACGAGTAATCAAAAGTTCGATTGTAACCCCCCCAAAAGTATTGCACATATGTAATTTAATGTATTCTATTCTATTCTGTATTCTTTCCAAATTGTATTGCAAATCCTGTTTTGCTTCGGTTTTTGTTGTTAAAGCGCTTTTAAATGTAAATGAATGCGATTAGTCCAGCAAGAATTAAATTTTATATGCAAATACTTATTAGACACTCTATTCCAAGCCCTTGATATCAATTAAATTATTGTATGGCGGAGTCAGAGCAAGTAACCCCAGCAGCAATCGCAAGGGGGCTAAAACTCCTTTGATCCAGGCTTCGTGCCGACCTCCAAAAAGGGATCGATGGGGGGTTGGGTGCCCTGGTCTATACATAGCATAACATGCATACATATATATGAAATTCAATTAATGATAATTACATTTTACGGATTTGCGTGTGTATTTATTGTTCGTACAAGTCAAAAGCAAAAGCAAAAGCAAAAACAAAACAAAAAATATAAGTAAACTACATTTAAACCTAATAACATTGTTTTCAAATTTGAATTATACTCTGGTATGGTATACTCGGTCCATGAAGCCGAAATCAATAAAAATTTACTATATAAACTTATCCCATGCAAATACTCTACTGCTACAGGTTTTAGAGGGCATCCACCAGTCGACTCTTGTGCGGGCTAGTTCTTCTACAGATCTTCCTGAATTCAGAATAAACATAAACCCAACTTTGCGATCGTCCTGCAAAGCTCAACAAGGAACGCAGTCTCTCTTCTGGTCTGTTGTTACCGTTATCCGGATGGCGGATGGTAAACAAACTGGGCGACAAGCTAAGCGTCCTCTTCCTTCGCCCGCCTGCGCTGGGGGTGAACTTTTGACAGCTGATACAGTTAGCTTTTACTCGCACTCGCACTCGCTCTTTCTGACTTTGTTTTGTTTTGGGGCAGTAACTCAGGCACAGGCCAGCACATGCGCTGTCTCTTCAATGCTCTCTGTCTCTCCCTCTCTCTCTCTCTCTGTATTTCCGTGTTCGTCCCCCTAGAAAAGGGGGCGAAGGAAGGCGGCTCGAAACTTCGCTGCAGAGTTGTCAGAAGCCGAAGGGCCGTCAGTCGGGAGAGTTTGTTGCGCGGCGCATTTCCTGCCACAGCGAGCGAAAGAGGGAGGGAGAGAGAAAGTAAAAATAATTTTCCTGGCTGCTGCTCCTGCCAGATTCGATTCGGGAGGAAACATTAAAGTGGAAAATGTGAAATGTGTTCGCTATAATTGTCGCAGATAAATCAATTTCGTTGTTAACTAGCTTCCGGAGGACGCCTGGCAGTGTGCCGGACGGGGAGGTGGAGCAGGCGACAAAGGCAAATCAAAAGCAAGCCGTGAAAAAATTCCCCAACTCGTGTGTGTGTCCCGTGTGGGTGTGGGGTGTCGGTGTCAGCGTGTGTGTGTGTGTGTGTGTTTGTGCGTGGCTTTTTCGCTTTTATTTTTTCATGCGCAATTTGGGTTACAAAGCGAGAAAAACGCTGCTTAAAATGCATTAAAATGTTTTAGGCACACGGGGGGGCTTCATTGATTTTCCTACGCACAGAAGTATGTTACACAAAGCCGCCACCAGTCCACTCGACGGGAATAAGCACGAAGCTGAAGCTGGAAGTGGAAGTGGCACTGAAACCGACTCTGAGGCTCCGGAACAAAGAAGGCAGGACAACGATGAGGACAAAGACTCGAAGTAGCTGCTCCTAAGCGGCTCCAACCACCGCTGCCACATCAGTAGCAGCAACAGCAGTAGAAGAAGCAGCAGCAGCAGCAAGAGAGAGAGAGAGACGGAGAAGAGACTCAAACATTGGACACGAAGGAGATCCCCATCCTGGCTCCCGTACTCCCAAGCAGCGGCATAGCCGGCCTCGTCGGCGCCGCCAATGGCAAGCACCACCTCATCTCGCCCACCCACACACCGCTGAACTCGCTGCCCCCACTGCCGGCCGGCATATGCAGCAGTGACAGCGGCATCTCCACGCTGAGCGCCATCTCGCCCCCACTCTCGACGACCACAGCAACGAGTGGCGGAGGCGGTGGCAGCCCTCAGTTGCGAACCTCGCCGGCCCTCAGCATGCTGGGCAGCGCCACGGCGACGGCGAGCGGCAAGACCACGCAGAGCCTAACGTCTGGGATGCTGGGACCGGCGGCCAGCATCGATCTGGGCAGCTCCCCGCTCTCGCACCGCAACTACAGCCACTCACTGAAGGGCTTCAGCTTCCGGCGGAGCTTCGACGACAAGATCATCACCCCGCCGTACCTGTCGCGCGCCCCGCCCGCAATCCCCTATCCGCACTTTCACGCGCCGCCGCCCACCTCGACGACGTCGCACCATCTGCACCTGCACCACCACGGGACTGGGAATGGCGCGGGAGCGGGCGCGGGCGTCGGCGGCCTTTACTCGCCGGCCCACCAGCAGCCGCTCTCCCTGTCCGCGGTGGCCGCTGCACTGCCGCTGGCGCCGCTGTACGCCTCGCCGCTGCAGCTGCCGCTGACCTCGTCGCAGTCCACCACCAAGCTCTCCTACCGCGACGACTTTCTGCAGCAGATTGGCTATCTGCCAACGACGCGCATCTACAGCACCCCGACCAGCATCGTGGACGAGGACAAGGCCCAGCAGGACTTCCTCTCGCTTTCCCTCTCCCCGCCGCTCAGCCGACGTAGGGACATGCCGGCGCTGCGCGGACCCTTTGTCAGCCTGTGAGTATGCCCCCTACCCCCTGACCCGTCCCACATCACACCCCTCCGAATCCTTGCCAGAATCGGGCCTATCCCCCAAGTACCTGTGCAAATCAAGTATACGCCACGTGCTGCGTCCCGTGCCAATTAATTCCGTCCAGCTGTGACACGAGCCCTTGTCGATTCCTCCTCTGTGCTGATGGGCCGTACAAGTGTTTCCGTTCCCACTGTGCCAGTAACAGTACTAGCTACATATGTGTATATGTGTGAGTGTACAGTGGGTGACACAGTATCAGAAGTGGGCCGTGGGGGTGTCCAGCAATTTATTCCGCTCATTCCACTACGCGCTGGAAAGCGAACTACAGCGGAATAATGGGAAGTCGATTCCACATATCACACATTCCCTTCCCGCTTGCCTTTCGCAACACACACACAACCACTGACACACGCATCCCCCCTACAGCTGCACCCACTCTACTGCCCTCACGCTTATCCGTTTCGTTTGTTTACGTTTTTAATTTTCCGTAAGCGCAAAATCGCCACCACGTGACGCCAGCAACGGAGATGGCTATACCCGCGGCGCCCGCCGTGCTCCCTGCACTCCCACCCACCCATACCCACCCCCCAAACACACACACACACTCACATGCAATTGGCAATGGCTATGACGTTGCTCTCCCCAAGCCCACATTCACGCACTCCACTCCTCCTTTTTTTGCACTGATTTTCTCTAGAATTGATTGTGTTTTGTTTGTATGCCCTGGCAGAGAGGGTATTACGATTGAGATCAGCTGTTTGTAACGCCTAACGTACATACACATATAAGTATATATTTATTCTCCTGCTAATCACCGATGGACTAAAGATAATCCCAAAAAAGGTAGTCGGAAAAATAAAACCCAAAGCGAAAGACGTTAAATTCGCAAGGGTATAAAAACCTTCGGCTTTTGGGTCTTGCGTTCTATTTTTATTATTCTTTTTTTTTGGGCGTCTATAAATAATAATATTGAGGAAGCAGCTACAGCAGCCACAGCAGCACAGAACCAGCCAGCAGCCACAGCAGAGCGCTCTCCGGCCCAAGGTGCGTGACCATGTCCATGTGTGGAGCATTAGGGTGACTCAAGCACCACTTACTTACAAGAAGTAGTAAACAGTGTTGTTGGTAGAGAGAGGGTGCGGTGGGGTGCTGGAAAAATCAATAACAGAGTCTGCTTAGTCATTTTCGGGAACTTCAAAATTTGCATTTTGCAGTGCCCACCACCACCCACTCCAGGGGTTGAGGGGAGGGTAGGGGAGGGGCGAGGAAACCCAAAGCATAAAATATTGCTAATGCTTACCTTGAAATCTATTTGGATGTGGTTCGCTCTGCTGAATGGCTTTCGAAATGTTGGATTTGGAATTTGAAATATTCGGAATCCTGCATGTCGAATACCCCTACCCCCCTCGGTGCAGTGTGTGTGTGTGTAAAACAATACGTAAATAGGCGAGAAGACAAACTTGGCAACATGCCCAAGAAATCAACTCGATGATGAACATGACGACGATGATGATGATGATACCCACAGCTGTGGCTGTGTGTGTGAGTAGAACACATCCATCCGTACATGTGGCGGAATCTTGCCTGGTGTGGTGCAGTCCATGACCGGCCAGGCCACGACGACAACGACAACGACATCGAATTGATGAAGTACATTGGATAATGACGCCAAAAGACAGACAGACAGACAGAGAGACAGACAGACACACCACACACTCGTGCCGTGAGTACTACGGGTTCTAGGTGATCCGTAGTACACAGTCGCACACTCGCATGGACGGGCCCCGGACGGACAGTCGCAGCAGGCGGAGAGACTAAACTTAGTTGCGACAAAAACAGAAAACAGTTCTGACGTGTTGGAAAACGAACTCCGCTCCTCTTGCTCTTGCTCTTACTCTTGCCTTTGGTCTTGCCTTTGGTCTTGCCTTTGGTCTTGCTGTGGCATTCTCCGCTAGCTGTGGCCTCCGCTAGCTGCGGCTCTCGCTCAGGAAGAGACGGGCGAAAACAAAAAACGCGAAAAGCCATTTCGACATTCTCGCGGACGCAACTGAACGAATCGGTCGGAACGGCAAAGAACTGAATCGCATCAGCAGCAACAGCAGCAGCACAGATACAGATACTTTTCATAATTAAGATTTTTTTTTGCGTTTTCCGCTGCGCGATATTTGCTTTTCACCCAATTTCCCCCGCACTGGTTATGTAAGGGGTGTGTTTACTCCTCGCTGGGCAAAGCACTCGTCGGGTCGTCTCCGACATGCAAGTGAAGGCATAGGAAAGTCAAGGTCGCCACCCCCACCCCCACCAGCAGCGCAGCCGCCACCATTGCACCCCGTTACTGGCAGCCGGGGGGGCCATGTAGACGCGACAATCGAAACAGAAATCCAATTGTCGAATCGAGCAGCACCGAGCAGCGCATAGAAAATGAACAGCTGGGGAACGGGCATGGCCGATGCCACCTGCCCCAGGGAGGACAATGCCACAGCGACAGCTGGCGCAGAGTGGCACTGGACGGCTGATCTCTGGCTGGAATTGTACCCCAGTTACCTGGAGAAGCTGCAGGTCATCCTGGACCTGGCCAGCTGGCTGCATCAGCAGAGCCAGCACGTGGCGGATACCCTCGCCCAGGATGAGCTCTTCGTTGGCGTACTCAAGGTCTCTCTGCTGCTCCTCTTCCTCTACCTGATGTACCAGCTGCAGCAGTGGAGCAGCCGGAGTCCGCAGGAGCCGCCCAATGCCACGGCCACGGCCGACGTCACGAAGCAGCTGATCTGCGAGTTTAACTTTGTCTCCGAGCAGGAGAAGCGCGCCGCCCAGGAGGCAGAAACGGAGGCCCTGCTCGAGGTGGAGGAGAAAAAGCGCCGCAAGAGGTTCACTAAGAAGCGCGTCTGCGTCTCGGCCGGGCCCGTTCTCATCGCCCTGCGCCAGCAGTCGCGGCTACCCAAGCCGCATCGACACCAGGCCTTGGTCTTTGAGCCAATCTCTCCCATGGAGCGCGTCCTGGAGGGCTACCTTCCACCGAGAGAGCAGCCGCTGACCATCAAGCTTCCGCAGCAAGAGCCAGTCCCAGTCCCTGTTCCTGCCAGGCAGGAGGAAACAACGGAGCTGCCTGAGTTCATGTGGGTTCGGGTTCGAATTCGGGTCCTGTCCCTAACATTAGAATATCCCTCCATCTGCTCTATCTCTATCTATATCCAACGGAAATCCCAATACTAATTCGTGTAATATTCAATGCTCATTTCAGTTCGGAGCCCCGCGGTACTCTGAGCACGACAGACGAGATCTACCCGGACTCGTCGGACAGCAGTCTGTACGTGTCGGACGAGGAGCAGGAGGACGCCTCTCAGTATTGCCGCGGCGGCTACCATCCGGTGGTCATCGGCGACATATTCGACAATCGGTTTCGGGTCGTCCGCAAGCTGGGCTGGGGTCACTTCTCCACCGTCTGGCTGTGCCGGGATCTCAAGTGAGTGATCTCAGAATGTTGTGTATTCCTTCTGCCATTCCTCGCTTCGTTACCCCGCAGAGACGAGAAGTACGTGGCCCTCAAGGTGGTGAAGAGCGCCCCGCACTACATCGAGACGGCCGCAGATGAGATTCGCCTGCTGGAGGCCATCCGCGATGCGGACCCGCTGGACATGAAGCGGGAGCGGATCGTGCGGCTGATGAACCACTTCACGGTGCGCGGCGTGAACGGGATGCACACGTGCCTGGTGTTCGAGGCGCTCGGCTGCAGCCTGTACAAGCTGATCGTGAAGAACAACTACCAGGGCCTGGCCATCGCTCAGGTGCGCAACATCATCAAGCAGGTGCTCGAGGGACTGGACTACCTGCACAGCAAGTGCAGCATCATCCACACGGACATCAAGCCGGAGAACATACTGCTGGTGATCGACAATGCCGCAGCGATGAACCAGCAAATCGACGACGAGATCAACAGTCTGCGCGTGAAGGGAGCCGACTTCCCCGACTCATACAGTAGGTCCCGTCCTTTTTGTCCAATTAGGCAGAGCCTAACCCTATGTTATCCCCTCACTGTTTTCCACCAGTCAGCTCCATCGAGAAGCAGACCAAGACGCGGGCCAAATGGCCGCTGATCGAGCCGAACGGATCGACGAACACCAACACGAACACGAGCAACAGCACGGGCAACAATTCGACCTCTTCGACGCCGCTGGCCGCGGTGGCCATGTCCTCGCTGGACAAGGACGACACCACCACCTCGTCCACCCTCAACTCGAACACCACCTCCTCGCTGGCCTCCAAATACTCGAGTCTGCTCGGCGACAGCGAGTGCAACGGCATCGGCGGTGGCGTTGGCCTGGTCGGGGGTCTGGGTGGTGGCGTCGAGAGTCCCATTCTGAGTAACCGATATCGAGCCGAGAAGAAAATCACTGCCAAGGTGAGTGAAAGTTCGCAGGCTCGGCTGCCCCTTCCGCCTCACACTCGACAGCGCTTTCCCCTTGGAAGGATTACCCCCGCCCCATCCCTCCCTCTAATCACTTGGTGTGCGTCCATGGTACAGCATTCTGCACTCTCGATATTGTCAATCACCAACACAGCCACACAGCTACACTACACTACACACACACACCACACTCTGCAGCAAACAAATTTTGTACTCTTATAATTTTGGTTTTATTTTCCACGTTGCCTTTTGATTTGATCATCCGCTGCAGTCTTCCGTGGAATGCGACGACGACACCCTGGGCGACAACAGCACCATGGCCAGCGATACGCCCACACCTAGCGATGATCCCGACCCCGATCACGACGCGAGTCACAGTGCCCAGGCGGACAAGGTAAAGTGGATATTGGACTTAGTCGGAGCCGTAGAGCTCCTTCGAGGATAGCTCATTCGTTCGCTTTGTTCTTTGTTCGTTTTTTTATTTTGCTTTGAATGTTTGGTCGGGACGGGAATCGGCAAGTGGGAAGTGGGAGAGAAACTGCCCAACGGTTCCTGCGAGATAGCTCCTGTCCCGGCTGCTGCTGCTGCTGCTTAGTTACTGTTCAACCATTCCCAACACTCTTCAGTTCATATTCAGATTAATTTTACCATACACACACACACACACTAACAAGCCCACACTCACCGGCTACACAAGTTCTAGAACTAGATTCAAGTGCTCTATGATAAATGCTTAATGTTTGATTGTGCTGCTAGCAGCTTTAGATGTTTTTTGTGTAATGGGTCCAAGGCCACGTCCACGACCACGACCACGCCCACGCCCACCCAGTGCTTTACCTGCATTTACCCGCCTTAACCACCTGCATAAGTCTATGTCTAAGCTGTTCGTTCGTGTTCCCATTGATCTCTGATTGTTCTGTGTGTGGTCACTGGCCCAGGAGGAACAACATACACATACCCCTGGGCCATTGACCAAGGGGCTCGAAGTTCGGATCTTTCACGGAGAATCCCAACTCTGAGCTTCCACTTTTATGTGTTTTTTATATGCACCAAAACAAAACAAAAACCAAAAAGAAAAACAAAATCAAAGCAAACCAACATTGTGTGTTCTTTTTCTTCTCCTTTCTTTCTTTCTTTGTGTGAACCAATTTGTTATACCATATTATGATATTACCGATATATATATACATATATGAAGCAGCTGCCCAGCTCCAACTCCAACTCCAACTCCAACCCCGCCTCCGCCACCGCCTCCACCAACAACTCCTGCCCCTCCTACAACGCCAATACGAATACAAACCCAAAGATCAACACAAAAACTCAAAGCACGTGCACGTCCATGCCCATGCCCAGCGAGTACAGCAACAACCAGAACGAAAACCAGAACCAGAACTGCCCCTCCACAAGCGCCATATCGGTCACTCCTAGTGCAACTCCTGCCACCGCCTTAGTTTCCACCTCCACCTCAGCCTCAGCCACGCCCCCCAGCACGTGCACGTATTCGTTCACGCATCTAGCGCCAACAGCAACAACAACGACTCCAACAACTGCAACAACTGCAACTGCAAGCACAGAGCTGTACAATGGCGACCATACATCTACAACAACAACAACAACAACCAACGCGACCTCAACAACGACAACAACAACAACAACAACAACCACAACAACAGCAACAAACACATCCGCTAAACTAAATGTCCATGCCAATGCCATTCCTTCGCAGAACCAGAGTCAGAGTCAGAGTCAGAGTAGCCAGAACAACACCTACACGATACAGTCGCTCATCAGCAACAGCAACGTGCGGGTGAAGATTGCGGATCTGGGCAACGCATGCTACGATGTGAGTAGAACCTATAGCACCTGTACCACTTGTGCCAACCTTTTAGTAACCATTGTGTACTCGGTCCGTACAGTACCATCACTTCACTGAGGACATACAGACGCGACAGTACCGATCGATCGAGGTGCTGCTGGGGGCACCCTACAACTATACCGCCGATATCTGGAGCACCGCCTGCCTGGCCTTCGAGCTGGCCACCGGCGACTATCTGTTCGATCCGCATGCTGGCGAGTCGTACAGCCGGGACGAGGACCACTTGGCGCACATCGTCGAGCTGCTTGGCTCCATTCCGCAGTCGGTGATACTGCGGGGCAAGAGCGGTCTCAAATACTTCAGCAGTTATGGTAAGCAATCAATCAATCAATCAGACTAGAGAATTGGTATCATTCAATCACTGCTGTCCCTTGCAGGCAACCTGAGGAACATCACCAAGCTGAAACCCTGGAGCCTGATGAACGTGCTCGTGGAGAAGTACGACTGGGATCCGGTGGAGGCCAAGAAGTTCTCCGACTTCCTGCTGCCCATGTTAGAGTACAATCCCGTCATACGCGCCTCGGCGGCCGAGTGCCTGCAGCATCCCTGGCTCGAGCAAGAGGAGTTCGTCTAGACTCTAGAGTCTAGACAGAGCGCTGGAGAGGCAACAGACACATAGGCCTATGTGACTCATAGACCCATGAATATTGCATAACATACGTATATACATACTCATATTTCTAGGCTTAACTTTTATATGCGACCCAGTTTGTTATAAACCAGAAATTATAGTTGATAGCGTTGGCAGCGGAAACGGAAACAAAACTAGAGTTAAAGGATTCGACACACAAACAGAAACACACACACACACACACACATACAGGATAGGACAGGACAGGAGGGGAGATGGGGACGTGCGTGCCGCCTGGAATTTTTTAAGCTTTTTTTTTCATTTGAAACACAATTTTTGTACTCGAGAGCTTTAAACGTAATTGCTAAAGAGCGATTTTATTTTTAACAAAAACAATGAAAACGAACGCGAGAAAATGCGCAAATCTTTTTCACGATTTTATTTCAACTGCGTACATACATATATATATATACATATATACACAAACATATATATATATATACATATATATATATATATATATATATTTTATATTTAAAAGCGAAAACAAGTAAAAACAAAAGACAATGACGACAATTTTGAAGTCAACAGATGCCTAAACTGACTGACTGAAATGGAAAAAACACTTTCAAGCGAAAACACCCAAAATAAAAACATGCAAAATAAATTATACGAACTAGCAAAAATAATAATACTACGAGTAACTAACTATAAAGCCAATAATATATGGTATGTGTATAATTAACGAACCCTAAGTGTAGATATCGACAATGTTCAATACCAATCAGATACAGATACAGCTACACAACTACAGATTTAGATACAGATAAAACAAGATACAGACAGCTTTCTAGCAGCGTGTAGTGATTGTGGTAGTTCATCTAACCAAGCAGATTATGGATTATTGTAGAGCCCTAAGGCTATGTTCCCTCATAACCCTCATTTGGAGTCTATCTCCTCGCACCCAAGAAGATGAATAATCCCAGTTATATATTTTTCGTTTCCACAACATTAACGCAATAAGCCATTAAGCCATTAACCAACTCGATGTAGTGGAATTGAGAACTCTTAAGCGAAGTTTACACAACACCAAAATAATACCAAATACCAATGATATTTAACGAGAAATCGAAATCGCATTACCAACCAGATCTAAGAAACGAAAATATTTTATTACTTGCCTACAAGTATGTATTTGTACACAAGACAAGCCTAAGATGTAACTTTGAACGTGACCAAATAATTTAATAATCGGAATATTTTTCCCCGAATCACACACACATATTGAATATACAGCAAACGGACGTGCAGGCACACGGCTTCTTGATCGATACGCCCATGCCTGTGTCCAGATACATATTATTTCACGAATGTGGTTGGGGCAGCATCCATCCACATGGAAAAGGAGACGAGCTGCACACGTTCGGGGGAGCGACAGACAGACACATGTTTCAGTAAGCCGAATAAAGAATATATACATACCGATCAAATAACTGAAGCGCGGTGTTTGGTTTACATAAGCACTTTATTCGAAGTTGTGTAAAAATGCAGAGTCTAGAATACAATTAGGGGTATGTTTAACAGCTTTAGAGTAGATTATATATTAGCATAGTGATCGACAGTCGACCGGCGGATACGGCTACGGGCTACGCTACGGCGTATAATATTCGGAATACAGCGACGGCGCTTATAATAATACTCGATGTTCGAACGCCGCTCAGAGACCCAGTATCTGCTCCTGCTTGTAGACGCCATGGTAGGCGTTGCGGATGAGGACATAGGGGAAGCAGGACTCCAGCAGATCCATGGTGAGGAAGGGCGACTGCTTGACAATCTCATCAAGCAGCAAGTAGATGGACTCGCGGTTGCGTGTAGCCTCCTTGTCGGACTCCTGCCCCAGGCGGAGCAGCGATGAGCTGGCCAGAGCCAAGAACTCCTTCATGCGGTCCTCCATGTCGTTCTGCCCGCAAATGGTGAACAGAGCGCCAAAGATGTTGTTGATGGCCGCCGCCATGCAGTGCGTGTTGTTCGAGTGCCCGTCAATGGTGGCCCTGTAGAAGGAGTTCTCGTTGCGCGCCAGCTTTGGAATGGAGACGGCCACGAACACCATCAGCAGGCAGGCCGTGAGATGTTCGCCTTCGTCAAACTCGGGCTTCTTGGATTTGAGGGTGGTGGCCAGCGTAGGGTCCACCTTGCAGAGCAGACCAGCTGCCGACGCCATCTCAGAGGCAACGCGTATCTGATCTCCGCCAGGTAAATGCTCCTGAAAGTCCTTCACCGAACTCAGCAGGAAGGGAATGCGCTTGTCCAGCACATCCACGAGAGCCTCATGCACCAGATTGCGGAAGCAGATGATCACCCCAATGATGGTCATGCGCTGCAGCACCCGATCCACGTCCTGCAGCCGCTTGCACTGATCCTTCATCACCTCCGGCTTGTCAAAGCTGGTCCGCAGAGTGATCAGCACCTCCTTATTGGTGCCAACCAGCGTCTTGAGCTCCTGCACCTGGTTGGCAATGTGCCACATTAGCGTCTCGTTCAACGTTTTGATGCCATAGGGACCGACGAGCTCTGCCAGAGCGCGCAGCTCGTTGAGATCGGAGAACTCTTGCGGATTGAAGGGCACCCAGCCCTCTGGGGAAATGGGCACGAATGCCTTCTGGTTGATGGAGAACACAATGTTGCCGGCAGACACGCGTCTCAGTAGAACCTCGCTGTACCAAGTGTTGTACAGGGCGGCAATGGTCTTCTCGCCATGCGAGTCCAAGGCCTGCGTCTGCTGCAGCAGGCAGTTGTTGAATACGCGCGTTATGTCAATGTGGACGTAGTTCTCCACGGTCTGCAGCACATTCATGTAGGCTCGCACGCTGGCCAGCAGCTCCGAGGGCTTGGCAATCTCCATGGTCTCCTGGTTGAACATCACCATGCCCACGAGGTCTCGCGAGAAACGGTGCTCCAGGTTCTGGCAGAGATATTCGCGAGGGGCAAATGCAAACTCCCACACATTGACGGTGGGACAGTAGTTGATGGCATAGCAGAGCTCCGTCAGGGCCATGTGCAGCTTGTCCATGGTGGTCAGATCCTCGCGCGTCTTTCGATACGACTCGTCGCCTGGCTTGCGTATGTCGTCAAAGTGCTTCGACTTGGATTTGTCCTTTTTCTTGCGGGCTGACTGCACGGACAGGATCTTGGCGCAGTGCTTGGGCAGCAAAGCATCTGCCATGGTGCACTGCTCATCGCAGATGGTGGTAATAATGTTCTTGGCCTCCTTGGCCATCTCCTCCAGAAAGATGTTGACCACACTCAGTGATCTTTCCCGGATGTGGTGGCGCTCCTCCGGGCACATTTCGTGCGTGCAGTTCTGGAAGTGGCTGCAGATGAGGGGGAAGGCTATGATGTAGCGGTTCTGAGCCGGGAACTCCAGGCACATGTGGAACTGGTCGTCAAACATTTTGTTGTAGAAGCAAAATATGCTCAGGTCAGAGGTCTCCACCAGTATCTCGTCCAGATTGTCCACGACACGCGTGTGGAACACCATAGAGTCCAGCAGACGAGCCAGTTCCGCGTGCTCCGTTATCCTCAGGGCAGCCTTGCCCACGCTCATGTAGGTCTGCAGACGGAACCAGTCCAGACGGAAGGGTCGGAAGTAGAACAGCTCGTTGTCCTCCACTTGCTTCACGGTCAATCCGGCAGCCGTGTTATACAGCGAGCTAAAGATGATGCTCTCATCTTCTGGACACATCTGCAGGCTCTGCATGCGAATGTTCAGGTCCGTGGCGTCGAAGCCAGATAAATATTGCACATAGTAGCGCTGCATCACCTGGCTGTACTTGCGGACCAAGGCGCGCAGCTCCTCCATGTGGAAGAGCAGCTCTGGTAGTTGGCGATCCACCAGATCCTCGTTGCTTTTACCTATAGAGTAAGCATTCAACGTGAGTGATAAAACAGTGACTAAATAGTCAGATTGGAGTACAAATACGAACCTTTGTGCTTGAGCAACGGAGGATTGTCGTTGTGCCGCAGTAGCCAGAGAATTTCGTCGCGCGCCAGGCACAGGCCAATAAAGATGAAGATTGCCTTGGGACCGAGCAGTCCCGGCTGATCCGTCATAATCAGAGCCAGCTCCTTTAAGGCCGTGCGCAGGAACTTGCGGCGCTCGCGATGCATCAGGGCTGCCTTCTGAACTGCTGTGTTGTACGCCTCCTTGACCTCGGCTATCCTCTTGCTGTAGCCCTTGATGCCGTCAAAGGTAGACTGTATGTACTGATGGATCTGCAAGACCTCGTCGCGAAAGAGGGCCACCACCCAGCTGGACTCCAAGGCAGACACCCAGATCTTGTTCACCTCTGGGTACTGGCCCAGCATTTGGTGGTTCAGAAGGAGGCCAAAAATAATCCAGCGGTCCATGGCCTCCAGCGAGATATACTCGCAGGACATGGTGTCCGTTCTGACGGCTTTCAGCAGTATAGCAGGATTCCCCACCAAGCTTAGCTTCTGCATCTCCCGCCACTTGTCCGCCGGCAAGTTCCGCAGAGCGTAGATGGAGGTGAGCGAGCGCAGGGCATTCGTCAGCAGCCTCTGGTGGGGAATAAATTCCTCCGAGAGTTTCTTGAGGGGAACCTCGTAGTCCAGAATCATCTGGCCCAGGCGCGGAAAGCCAGTGTCGGCCTGATTATTCTGAAGCTCAAAGGCAGCGTTGTACAGACCCAACACAGCCTTGCGATCCTCGACTCTGGACAATACAATCATCAAAGAGACGTATGTCACCACCAAATCCAAGTAATTTTTGGTCAACTCAAAGTTCAGCGTAATGTCCAAGTGGATCTGACAGGCATCCATTGTGGTGAGCAGCTCGCAGACATTGTCCTTGAAGTCCAGCAGATCCACAAAGGTATGGTAATACAGGGACAGCGATTTAATTATCTCCGCCTTGATGTTGACGATGGCGTTCAAGCCCTTCACATCGATGTTGGGGAATCGCTTCACAATGAATTTGATGCTCGACTCCAGCGACTTCTCGGAGAGGAAGCCCGGCTTGGATTTGGTGTCGCCACAGGCCTTTTTGATATTGTATATTCGCGTGAGAATGCCCAATCCGCGATCATTCAAGATAATCAGCTTCTCAGCTATCTTTTGCTGATTCGGAAAAATTGGGCGTGCCATTTCCGATAACTGATGGGGAGGGCGTG